GAAGATTAGGATTTGAGAGAACACAAAGAATAAATGCACTGGCGCCATTGCGAACGATTTTGAGCCATGTCATTCAAGGTCTCTAGCCATCGATTATTATCATCTCGCGGACCCCAACCAGGTAGTCGACAATTACCGACATGGCTAAGTCCACTCGTCAATGACTTCATGGATTTATGCCATGTTTTGGTCTGGCCGCCCCTAGCTTTCTTCCAATCTATTCCTACACTGCGAAACAAAGCTCTTCGACGCAGTCGGTGGTTAGGCATACGCAACACGTGTCCCAACCACCTCAACTGATGAAGTTTAACCACTTCATCGATTGATCTGCCATTCTTACCTAGTACCCGTTTCCTAATAACAGCATTGCTCACTCGGGTGTCCCACGATATACGAGCAATGCTTCGAAGACACCTATGATCGAAAACCAATAGCCGACGAGTATCATCTACTCTCATTGGCCATGTTTCACAGCCATAAAGTAAGACGGAGCGAACCACTGCGCAGTACACTCGTCCTTTGATTAGAGAACGGATATCACGCCTACGCCATAAGTGACGCAGGTTGGCAAAAGCCAATCGAGCCTTCTGTATCCGGGCTGAGATTTCGTCAGTCACCAGGCCATCGGCACTGATGAGACTCCCAAGATAAGTGAAGCAGTCTACACGTTCGACCACTCCACTCCCTATCACTAGTTCAGGTGCCGATGCAACCCAATCTTGAAGCAACATTTTGCATTTCGAGGGGGAAAACCGCATCCCGAACATGCTTGCATTGTTGCTTAGGGTAGTCAGAAGACTCTGCATTTTGTCAGCGTCTTCACCAAGTAGGACAATGTCATCGGCATATTCTAAATCAACAAGCGAGCCACCTGGTAGAAGGTCTACTCCTGAAAATTCACACGAGGATAATGTTATGTCTAGGAGCATGTCTATGATAAAATTAAACAAGAATGGAGAAAGTGGACATCCCTGACGGACACCACTTGATGTAGAGAATTCCGGTGACAGTTCGCCATAAGCCCTCACTCGACCAGTGGTGTTCGAGTAAAGAGCTTGTATAAGGTTAATGTACTTCTGTGGTACACCTTTCAATGACAGACACTGCCACAGAACCTTACGATCCACTGAGTCAAATGCCGCCTTAAGGTCTAGGAAAACAACTATTGTAGGACGCCTAAATGTGTGTCTATGTTCCAGGACCTGTCTGAGTGTGAAGACGTGGTCTATACAACCACGTCCAGGTCGAAAACCAGCCTGGTTTTCTCTAGTCTGCTCTTCACGAGCACTAGTAAGGCGTCTAAGTATAATCGAGGCTACCAATTTAGAAACTATATTAGTTAGACTTATTCCCCTGTGATTGTCACAAGAAGACTTCTGTCCTTTCTTATAGATTGGGACAATCAGTGATTGGGACCAGTCGGATGGGATTACGTCCAGTTCCCAGATTCTACCTAAGATCTTAGTCAACCTAGCTGCTAAAACTGGACCACCATCCTTAAATATCTCAGGGGTCAGTCTATCAGGACCTGCAGCTCGCCCTCGTTTCAGATTTCCTAACGCTTTTTCAACTTCATTAAGACTAGGGGGACTTACGTCGATTTGCCATTCAGGATGACTGGAGATCGTGGGTAACCGAAGAGTGGCTGAAGGCCAGTTGAACTGATCCCTAAAGTGTTCTGCCCATCGGTCCAGCCTCCTAGATTGAGAATGGATAATAAGACCATCCTTTTCCGAGACAGTCTCACTTACATTCGGGTTCCTAATACCGGTTTCTTTGATAAGGCGGAAAAGTTGTCTAGTGTTGCCTATCGCCGCTGCCTTTTCCATCGCTTTTGCTTTCGCTACCCACCACTGTTCGCGATCGTTACGTAGGCTTTTTATAAGTCTGCGCCTAAGTTGACTTCGTTCTTCATCATGTTCAGAGCCAGGTGGGATGAGTTTTCGGGCATCCATCAGATCGGTGGATGCTACTGAGATTCATGGTTTCATTCTAGTCTTATGGTCAACCTTACTAGCAGATATCACTGCTGTTTCCACAGCCTTTTTGATATCATTCCATCCTGCTTCCGGATGGGAATCGCTTAAATGGTCGCCTAACTGTCTTTCTAGTTGTTTCTGAAATATATTTTTCGCCTTATTATCATTAAGTAAAACCCTAAGAGGCTTTCTTACGGTGTCTTTCCTACGCCCAGTAAGCTTCAAACAAATACGCGCTCGCACTAGGGCATGATCTGAATCCAAACATGTGCCCCAGAACGAGCGACAGTCTTCTATCGAACCCCTCCATCGGTGGCTGATGGCGATGTGATCTAGTTGAGTCCAACGTTGAGACGACTTCGGGGGTCGCTAGGTCAATAGTTGCTTTTCCTTATGCCTAAAGTTAGTGTCTGCTAAGAATAGGCGGTTGTCTGAGCATGCTTGCAACAGACGGTCACCATTGTCTGTTCTCTGAGCCGCGACACCATAACATCCACCTAGGTGTCTCTCCTGCTCACTTAGTCTACCTACTTGAGCATTAAAGTCACCAGCCATTATTACTATATCAGAGCGCCTAGCTTTTTGGAGGAGGTCCGAAAGCTTTCTGTAAAACTCATCCTTAACCTCGTCTGAACTGCAGTCAGTGGGGGCATAGGCAGATACGACGAAGAGGCAACGGCGATTGTCCCTATCTTTCCGAGTCCTTACTGTCCCGTTAAGTCGGACAGCACACAAGCGACTATCTACTGGGATCCAGTCTAGGAGAGATTGTTCTGCCCTACGACTCAATGCTATACCTACGCCAGCAAGACCCCGGGAAGCCGCATCAGGGCTACCGGATACACGAAGAGTAAATCGAGCTGCTTCTTTATTTTGACATGGTGTGGTCAAGTGTATGACGTGACTCGGATCCTGTATGCGCGTTTCCGAGACGCAGCACACATCGATGGCACGAGATTTTAAAGTCCTAGCTAAGGAAGCCTGTTGCCCTATTTGACACAATGTCCGTACATTAAATGCTCCAACATGTAGTCTAGAGCGAGGTTTAAGGAGACCAGGAACGACGTTTCGCGAACTTGTATCGACTGCATTAGCTGTGCACTGTGATGAATGAATGTGAGAAGAGTTAGTCGTGGAGATAAGAGAGGTACTAGGGGGTGTAGGAAGGATTTGATTTTGACCAATTTGGTCTCGCGTGCTGTTATGGGTATGAGGGCGGTTGTCACTTCCCGGCTGCCCACACCGTGGAAGGTTGTTTCTTGACGAACCTGAAAAGGAAGATGGATTAGTGTTGGTGCGTGACCGCAGAGTCCAAGGGACAACTGCTTGAGGCCGGTCACGCATGGCCTTTTTATCAAATGTTTTTTGAGGATTAGCTCCGTTCTTAAAGGCCCTTAGTGGGCACCCTTACCCAAGGAGACGGAAATCCGTGAGTTAGGGGAGGTGTGACATTTTTAGGGCCGACCTTTTCTAACCCTTCCTTCCTTGTGAGAAGGCAGCATCGCTGCAGATGCTGGTTGTCCGAGGGAAACACCTTACTGCTGTCACACCCCTCTGCAGTCAGCAGTACGACTTCGCCCTCAGACCTTGGGTAGCTGCTTTTAGTCTCATCGTTCTCCAATCGACCTGCCTGGCATGGTAGGACCTGCAGGAACGTATGTTCCAGCCAGTATAGCTCGGTTGGGTCATCACGATTGGCAAGCCCGACCACCACGTCAAGGTAGCAGCTACGGTCGGGAATGAAGCCTGTTGCCCCATTTGTCACAAGTTGCAAACAATTAAAGCTCCAATATTTTATTTAGAACAAGATTTCAGGAGACCAGGAATAACGTTTCGTGAACTCGAATCGTTTGCATTAGCGGTGCGGTGTGATAAAGAAGTAGTCTTGGAGGTAAGAGAGGTGGTGTATGAAGGATTTGATTTTGACCAATTTGGTCTTGTGTGCTGTTACTGGTATGAAGGGGTTGTCACTTCCCGGCAGGGATCTGAAAAGGAAGCTAGATTAGTGTTGGTCTTGGAGACCTGGGAGCGTGGCCGCTGAGTTCAAGGGACAACTGCATGATCCTGGTCACACAAGGCCTTTTTATTAGAAGTTTTTGAAGTGTTTTCTCCGTTCTTGTGTAAAGGGCCCTACTGCCCGGAGATGGGTTTCGTGAGGTAGGGTGAGGTGTGACATTTGTAAGGTCGTCCTTCTCTAATCCCCTCCTTCTTCATGAGAAGGCAACATCGTTGCATATGCTGAATGTGCGAGTAAAACACCTTACTGCTGTCACACCCCTCTGCAATCGGCTGTACGGCTTCGCTGTCAGACCTTGAGTACCTGCTTTTAGTCTCATCGTTTTCCAATCGATCCGCCTGGCATGGTAGGACCCACAGGAACATTTGTTCCAGCCAGTATAGCTCGGTTGGGTCATCACGATAGGCAGGCCCGACCACCATGTCAAGGTAGAAGCCACGGTCTATGCCTGTCAATAGGTTTCACGGCAATAAGTAATGATTGATATGCCCATGTAGTTTCCCAGTGTACTTTAGCAGTAGCTGGAGTGATTGCAAATAAAACAATCGGCAAAAGATAAATTTGTTTTTATTTATTGTTAGTCGTGTTATCTCACGTATAGATTTATCAAATTTCAGTTAGAAGTAAATTGTATCATTGTTTAGTTTCTCCAAATATTTGGCAGTTATTTTTTAATTGTAATGCTGACTATTGATTTAATCTACAGTGATTACATAGAATTGTGTCAGTTATCAAGGTTAAGTGGTATTTTTGAGGTTTGAAAAGTTCTTTTGAATGTAAATTTTAGTTGCTCATTACTTTTTAGATACTGTGATTGGGAAAAGAAACTCATTAAATTGATAAAACAAATCAGATTTGTATAATACTACATGGGCCTAATTATTTTCCGTCCTGATCCTGAAGATACATAGCATATTTGGCAGGTAAATTAACTGCTCATCATAGATACGGTCAATAAAGTCACGTACTTACAAATCATACCTCACATAAAATATTTCAAACAAATGATTTCAAAATTATGGAAAGTTCACTGGGCCATGTGCTACCCACCACCATTTTGCAAAGTACGGTATAGTTCAAAATCACCTCTCGTAAGTAGAATTTAACTGCTAATATTTTTTTTAAGACACACAAGAAAAGCAAGCTTGAGGTATGGGAGGGAATAACTGTCAAGGAATTGTCTTCGGCTGCTAAAATTTCTCCTCATATAATTCTTAAAACTCTAAACTCAGCCCTTACTACAAAACATAAAGCAAACACCGATTCAAGTATGATTACTGTTGCATAGTTAGTTAAACTTTAGAGTTGGAGGATAAAACAATCATCGAAACTCTAGTGAGACTAATGGGATTTACACCAGTGTTCAGTCCTCAGGTTATTCACGAAACAATTGACTATGATGCTTATCCAAGGTAATTTAATTCTCTACACTCTTATATATTACATTTTGATAAGAATAAGTTAACGAAAGCACTCAATTTTCTGAGCTAATAGAGAAGTAGAAAGTTTCAAAATCCGTTTTTGTGTTGTATTTCAACTTCTGCTCAGTCGAATGTTGTTGCTTTTCAACAATCATTTTACTTTTGCTAAAAGCACCTGATGTTCAACATCACATTATTTTTATATTTATATGTTGATGTATTCATTGTCATAGAATCTATCCTGTCTAAAGCTGCTCTATATTCTTGTTTAAACTTGAGCCCACTTATGCAGTAATGACGTTGTGTTTACCTGTGTTAATTCGTACTTTTTGAATATGAATTCTGCACCCGGTTTTATTTGCGTTCCAGACCTTGCAAAAATAGATAAATAAGTTAATTTATTTATCAGATACTTGGACTAATGATAATACTGGGTTACTTAAAGTGAAGTAAGTGGAAATCCCAAACATGGGAATTAAAACTTGAGAGCTGAATCTAGAATAACCAGTAACGTAGTACTTTCATTCCATATGATCCTTTATTCTTGCCAAAATTGTAGAAAAATTAATAAAAATCGGAATTTCAGATCGAAAAGTATGTAGAACGTAAGAAAGTAAACTTCACTTATTGCTAGTCACAAACAAGCATTTAACTAAATTATGTAATTACCAATATTGAATTTGTACCAAAATTCATCTAGCTTTAAGCAAATAAATCAAGATGGATTTAAATATATATGTTACTATTGCAGCTTATCGAGGCGTTATTTATTCTAAATTATCATATTTACTAGCGGTTGGATAAATGATAATTTTCATAATTATCAGAATGATTAGCGGTCTATGTAATAGTTCGAAGTTAATGTTAATTAATAGTCGTGTTTCACGTTGAACCAATTCTATTTATAGCTTTTATTCTCATATGAAAAAAATCGACTCATACTATATCAACATTTGCATCTTATTTATTTTGATTCAGTAGTCATTTTCTAAGTCGTGTTTCCTTGATTTTTCAGACCTCCTTGTCCTCCAGAAAATTGTGAACCTCGCCCCCCTATTGTTGCTGTGTTGGGACATGTGGATCACGGAAAAACAACTTTGTTAGATGCTTTGCGCTCCAGTAGAGTTGTCGATGAGGAATTCGGAGGCATAACTCAGCATCTTGGCGCGTTTACAGTATCTTTGTCATCTGTTGAACGCAATGCTGGATATACAGTTCCCGATTCTGTGTCATTCCCTAGAAGCATCACATTTCTAGATACGCCAGGTCATGCAGCATTTTCCGGTATCCGTTTACGAAGTGCTAAAGTGACTGATATAATGCTTTTGGTAGTCGCTGCTGATGATGGCGTTCAGCCTCAAACTGTCGAGGCAATTCGTTATGCAAAAGAAACAGACAGTGAGTCTTTCCATAATTTCATCCTGTCTTATAGATAACTTTTCTTAGATAAATTGAGTGGTGACAGGTTTCAAAGAATATAGAAATGGCTTGTTTGTTTATTGTTTACAAACGGCAGATCGTTTTAAATTACCACTTTTTATCTTAAGGCGTCGAACAAAGAGTGAATTCATCTTCACTCTTGTGTTCCATTTTGAGCCATCTACTAATCACGGTTATCAGAAAGATCCCAACCAGGTACCATGTTTTCTTCCAACCTACTCCCACCATCCAACATCGCTCGTCAAGGTAGGAGCTCAGTAAGCATATATAGCACCTGTCCCGGTGACTTGAGTCAAAAAGTCGCTACTCAAACAATCAACTTGTTATTGTTACCTAGTACTCGGTGTCTAATCTAAACATTGCTGACTAAGTGGCGCCAACATATGCTAGCTGTGGTTCAAAGAAATCTGTAATTATACACTAGTGGCCTACGAATACTGACTTTTTTCAAAGGCAACTTTTTCACAGACATGAAGAAACAAACGAATTGCCACTCAGTATACTCATTCTTTCGTTGGCAGACGTACATATGTCCCAAGCCACAAGTAGGCCAAGTTGTCAAAGACTAAGAGAGTATTTTGAACCCGTGTTGACCTTTAGTCAGATACGAACCAGGGTTGGTCGAACTTTCAAAGTAAGTGATTTGTTTAACAATCTCAACTATTTTCCTTCCTGCTATTAGTTTAGATGTTAACGCCAATCAGTTCTGAAGCAACATTTTGTATTTACAAAAAAGACGCATAATAAACATGTTTTCATTGTTGCCCAAGGCAATCAGAAGACTGCATTTTGTCAGCGTCTTAACTTAATCGAACTATCTGATGTGCGTATTCTAAGTTAGCAAGTGAATCTGATGATAGTAGATCAATCCCTCAGAACCATGTGCGTGAAGCATTCTCTTTCTAAGAATATCTGTGGCAAGGTTAAATAAGAGTGAAGTAAATGGAGCAACCCTGATAAAAACCACTTGATGTCATGTATTCTGAGAACAGTTCAGAAGTATGATGTTTGGACTTATATGACATTTTTGTTTATATTTAACATAATTAGATAAAGCGTCTGTCAATAAAATTAAATGTCTTTCAAGATAAACCATGTAACTAGAGGTAATTATATATCCTTGACGAAATTATACATATGAAACGCATCATACAACTGTTTCATATATTAAACGAAATCTACCTAGTTATGACCGCATTGACAAGCTACAATTATTTCTAATCCTCATCTATTCATATGCTAGAAAAACTTGGATTAATGGATGTACCCATTAACAGTGTCTGCAACGTATCATGTTCATCATTTATACATCCCAATACTTACAAAAAAGACAGGTGAAAGGTTACAAGAAAAACTGAAGCAAAAGTTTACCTCTGTTTTTCAGAATATCTTTGGCCACTGTACCAAGATGAAAGTTCATTTACCAGTAGAATCAGATGCCAAACATATTTTTCGTCCGAGACGTCTTGTACCATATGCTGCTGTTGAGCTAGTCAGTCAGTCAAATGCAACGTAGAACTTCTTACGTAAATACATTAGTTCAGGTTGCCATACCACATTAGCTCAGAGACGCAACTGTCAATTCAAATCCCATAGTGGTAAACATAGTAGGAGTACTACTGATAATAGAGAGGATTGGGGTTCCAAAATATTATTCAAGAAGTATAATTCAGTGAGATAGGTTTAGGAAGACAAAAGCAGAGGTGCTGACGAGTCCAGAAGATTAGGATTTGAGAGAACACTGAACTGGCCTCCCCTAGCTTTCGTCCAACCTATTCCTACACCGCAAAATATAGCTCGACGAGGCAGTCGGTGGTTAGGCATTCTCAACACATGTCCCAACCACCTTAACTGATGAAGTTTCTCAACGTCATCTATTGACTTGCCATTCTTACTTAGTTTTCGTTTCCTAACAACAGCGTTGCTTACTCGGTTGTCCCACTATAGACTAGCAATGCTTCATAGACATCTATGATCGAATACTAGTAACCTACGAATATCTTCTACTTTTATCGGACCCATGTACGAGAACGAAGCGAACTATTGCGCAGTACACTCGTCCTTTAGTCAGCAAACGGATTTCTTGCCTACGCCATAAACGGCATATATTGGCAAAAGCCAATCGAGCTTTCTGTACCCGAGCTGAGATTCCGTCAGTCACCGGGCTATCAGCGCTGATGAGACTCCCGAGATAAGTGAAGCGGTCGACACGCTAAACTACTTAACTCCTATCACTAGTTCAGGTGCTGACGCAATCCAAACTAGAAGCAACATTTTGCATTTCGAGGGGGAAAACCGCATCCTGAACATGTTTGCATTGTTGCTTAGAGTGGTCTGAAGACTCTGAATTTTGTCAGCGTCTTCACCGAATAGAACTATGTCATCGGAATATTCTTGGTCAGTAAGCGGTTTTCCTGGTAGAAAGTCGACTCCTGAAAAGTCGAACGAAGATAATGTTATATCTAGCAAAATTCAGCGAGAATGGAGAGAGTGGACAGCCCTGACGGACAGCAATTGAAGTAAAGAATCCCGATGACAGTTCGTCATAAGCTCTAACTCGACCTGTAGTGTTCGAGTAGAGAGCTTGTACAAGGTTAATGTACTTCTTTGGTACACCTTTCAATAATAGACACTGCCACAGAACCTCACGATCCACATAGTCAAATGCCGCCTTAAGGTGCTGGGAGATGACTTTTGTCGGTCGCGTCTAAGGATTATCGAGGCCAGCAATTGAGAAACTATATTAGTTAGACTGCTTCCCCTGTGATTGTCACAAGAAGACTTGCGTCCTTTCTTGTAGATAGGGACAATCAGTGATTGAGACCACTCGGATGGGATTACGTCCAGTTCCCAGATTCTACCTAGGATCTCAGTCAACCTAGCTGCTAAAGCTGGACCACCATCCTCAAAAATCTCAGGGGTCAATCTATCAGGTTCTGCTGCACTTTCTCGCTTCATATTTCCTATCGCTCTCTCAACTTCATAAAGACTAGGAGGACTTAAATCGATTTGCCATTCAGGATGACTGGAGATCGTGGGCAACTGAATTGTAGCTGAAGGCCAGTTGAACTGATCTCTGAAGTGCTCTGCCCATCGATTCAATCTCCTAGATTTAGAATGAGTGATACAGCCATCCTTTTTTGAGATAGTTTCGCTAACTGATGGATTTCTAACACCGGTTTCCTTCATATGGCGGAACAGCTGTCTTCTGTTGCCTATTGCCGCTGCCTTTTCCATCGCTTTTGCTTTCACCACTGTCAGTGGGACATAGATGGAATTAAAGCATGACTACGTTGCTGCGCGCTGATTGGCTAATTTACTATCCAATCAGCGCCTGATCGATTCTTGGAGAACAGGGTATAAAATTCTCGTACTGTTAGCTGCATGCTGATTGACTAAAGCTAATCCAGTCGATCACTCGAATTACAATCCAGAAGCTTCTCATGAAAATACTATAATGAATCTAACGTTGTATCTATTTTGCCTTCGCCTTCGGCTTCGTATTCCCATGTAACCTTGCTATTTGGAATATAATATTTTCCTGTTCCACCGTGTTTTTGATTCTTTGGAACGTGTCCAGTGTATTGTGGTCAGAGAATATTAAGCAATAGGAATTAGCGAGGAATTATTTGAGCAAGCGTTACAACAGCCACCTGTCACTGTTCGCGGTCGTTGCGTAGGCTTTTAATCAACCTACTCTGAAGCTCACTTCTCTCCTCATCATGTTCAGAGTCAGGTAGGTGTGTCTCTCAGTTCGTTTGATGCTACCTAGATGCACGGCTTATCCCTAAACCGGTTGTTCACCTTACTAGAAGATAATACTGCGGTTCCCACACCCTTTTTGGTATCATTCCAAGCTGCCTCAGATTGAGTATCACTTACTACATGACTACCTAACTGTTTTTCTACTTGTTCCTGATATATATTCATAGCTCCGCTATCATTAGGTATAACCTTAAGAGGTTTTCTTGCGATATCTTTCCTACGTCCAGTAAGGCGCAAACAAATACGCGCTCGCACTAGAGCATGACCTGAATCTAAAAATGTACTCCAGAACGAGCGACAGTCCTCTATCGAAGCCCTGCATCGGTGGCTGATGGCAATGTGATCTAGTTGAGTCCAACGTTGAGATGACTTCAGGGGTCGCTAGGTCAAAAGATGTCTCCCACACCGTGGAAGGTTGTTTCTTGAGGGACCTGAAAAGGAAGATAGACTAGTGTTGGCATTGGAGACCTGGGAGCGTGACCGCAGGGTCTAAGGGACAACTTCTTGAGGCCGGTCACGCACGGCCTTTTTATTAAAGATGTTTTGAGTATTAGTCCCGCTCTTGAAAGCCCTTAGTGGGCACCTTTACAACTTGAGACGGAAATCCATCAGGTTGGGTTAGATATGACAGTTTTAGGGTCGACCTTTTCTAACCCTTCCTTACTTGTGAGAAGACAGCATCGCTGCAGATGCTGTTTGTCCGAGGGAAACACCTTACTGCTGTCACACCTCTCTGCAGTCAGCAGTACAACTTCGCTGTCAGACCTTGAGTAGCTGATTTTAGTCTTATCGTTCTCCAATCGACCTGCCTGGCATGGTAGAACTTTTAGGAACATATGTTGCAGCCCATATAGCTCGGTTCGGTCAACACGATAGGCTAGTCGATCAGGAACTTCATCGCTTGCAACAGGCTAGGGTAACCCAACCGGTCAACTACTCTTCATGGGTCACACTGATCCTAATGATTAAGAAGGCTATCGGAACTATACACAAATGTGCCGATTTCTCAACCTGCTTAAATGCTGCATGGGATTTGTATCAGTATCCGTTACCAGTTCCTGAGGACCTGTTTGCCAAGCTTAATGGTGGGACATTTTTCGCGAAAATAGACTTTTCCGCTGCCTACCTGCAAGTGGAAGTAGATGAAGATAGTAGAGAGTTCCTGACCGTTAACACTCATCGAGGGCTATTTCAATACACTCGTCTACCATTTGGCATCAAGACCGCACCGGCTACTTTTCAGGAAATAATGGATACGATCCTAACAGGTATACCCGGTACAGCAGCTCATCTAGAGGATACCATAGTTATGAGCTCAACTGACATTAAACTGTCTGATCGACTACATCAAATCCTTAACCGAGTGTTGGAGTATGGTTTCCAACTACGTGAAGAAAAGTTTATCTTCTTCATGCATTCGATCAAATACCTTGGTTTCATCCTTAGATAACAACGGTCGCCAACCAGACCCGGCCAACTTCGAAGCGATTCAGAAGATACCTGCACCAACTGATGTCTGTTTATTAAGATCTTTCTTGGGGTTAATCAGTCATTACAGCGCATTCCTGCCTGAATGAATTACTATCAAAAGATAAACCTTGGCAGTGGTCAGCAGAATATCAAGCACCTTTCGAAAGAGTCAAATCAATGCTCAGCTCAAAGCTTCTTTTGACACACTTCGATCCCAGCATGGGAATTGTTGTTGTATCTGACGCCTCTAGTTATGGAGTTGGATCAGTGATATCTCATGTGTTTCCGGACAAATCAGAAAAGACTATTGCCCATGCTGCTCACTCATTACAGCCGATCGAAACTACAGTCAAATTGGAAAAGAAGCTCTCGCGATTATTTTCACTGTCAAAAGATTTCATAAAATGCTCTATGGTCGTACGTTTACGCTAATGACAGATCACAAACCTTTAATTGCACTCCGGTTCTAAGAAGAGAACCCCTGTCTATACGGCTCATAGATTACAGAGCTAGGCAAAAATACTCCTGAGACATGATTTCAATATCAAGTATCAGTCGACAAATACTATCGGTCAAGCGGATGCTCTCTCTCGATTAATTGGAGTTCAGCATCCTGAACCACAAGAAATAATCATTGCCTCAATAGCAGTAGACCCAGAAATACGGAGTGTAGTAGCGGATGCCATTCGAAACATTCCAGTGTCGTCAGATGAAGTCAGAGAAGAAACTCTTAAAAACCCAATCCTATAAGAAGTTAGAAAGTTTCACCTGGAAGGGTGGCCCTCGAAGATCAGTTCCACAGAGCTTCAACGGTTTTACCAGCTTAGACTCTCCATCAATCATGGACGATTGCCTGCTGTTTGCCGAACGAATCATAATCCCAGGGAAGCTAAAACTAGCAGTGCTTTAATAGTTGCACGTGGGACATCCTAGAATAAATCTCATGAAAGCTCTAGCACGAAGTTATGTATACTGGCCGCATTTAGACACCCAACTGAAGCAGCTGTCCCGTTCGTGTACCAATGTGGATTAGCAACAAAAGCACCACGCAAAGCAGAGCTGCAGTCATGGTCAATATCACAATCATCCGGACAGCGTATACATTTGGACTTTGCTGGCCCATTTCAGGGACAAACTTACCTTCTGGTAGTTGATGCATACAACAAATGGCCAGAAATTTTTTTTCATGAAACACCCAACTGCAAGCTGCACAGTCAGTAAATTACGTCAACTATTCAGTCGTTCCGGAATCAATAGTTATTGACAACGGGACACAGTTTAACTCCTTAATCTTCTCCCAATTTTGCCGACAAAGCGGAATCTGTCACATCCGAACACTATTCCATCCCCAATCAAATGGAAAAGTGGAACGCTTTGTGAGTACATTTAAAAATGCTCTAAAAAAACCTTAAGTGTAGGGAACCACCGAAGAGATCTTAGAGAGGTTCCTGCTTATTTTTCGCCCTACATCGAACCCTCAGTCGATTAACGAAGTCTCCCTAGCAGAAGCTCTACTTAGCATAAAAATACGAATAAATTTTGATATCATCCGTCCTACACCAGCTCTTGAGCCCCAACGAAACCTATCGATGAAGAAGCAGTTCAGTCGTCACCATGGGACACAAAAACGATTGTTCACGGTGGGTCAAAAAGTACTTGCTATGGACTATCGTGGAAAACATTCTACATAGACAGCTGGCCCGGTTTTCAAAAATAAAGGGAGTGTGATTTATGAGGTGTCAGTTGGCTCAGAAGTTTCGTTACGTCATGCTAATTAACTGCAAGCAACGTAGATAGTCAGTTTCGAATACCTCTTGACGTCCTGCTGGACACCTCCGAAATCAAAACGCCTGGAACAGACAAGTCAGTTCCTGTGCAGGCAAAGAATGACAACTTCCTTATTGCTGAGAAGATGAACAAATCAGAAGCACAGGTCAGGCACTCAGTTTCAGTTGGACGCAAGCGTCAGATCCTAGGAATCTGCTCAAAGGGGAGGTGTTAGTGGGATATAGATGGAATAAAGCTTGAATGCGTTACCTGCGCGCTGATTGGCTGAATCTAATCGATCAGCGCTAGTCGGTCAAGTGGATTAGATTCCAGAAGCTTTTCATGTCAACGCTATAAAGATACTAACGTTGTTTCTATTTCGCCTCCGCTTCGGCTTCTTACTTCCATTTAACCTTGCTACTAGGAATATAATCCTTTCCTGTTCAACTGTGTTCTCATTTGAGGACTTGTCGAGTATATTGTTTTCAGACAATACTAAACAATAGGAATAGCTGGGTTTACTAAGAGAGACCTTCTCAGATTTGAAATGGATAAATACCTTAACACGTACGTAATCCTCAACTCAGCGAAATTTTCATAATCCCATCTAGCAGAAATAAAGAATAACGTGTAGGTCATATCAACCAACATAAAATATACGACTTACTTTAGATTCCAACTCTAGGATAAGATCTCCTGCAGATGGGAGGTCTTTCCAACCTGCTATTCGCGCTACATATCCAGGTTTAACTGAATCCACAGGTTTTCCTGTATCGGCTAACAAGATTCGTGGGGTACAGATGGCTTCACCAGCTATAAGTGGACCACTCTTGGGCGATTTACGCAAAACACCTCGAGTAATCAGACAAGTAGCCGTTTTTCTATAAGAGAAATGAATGAAATATCTGTGGTTTAAAAGGAACCCTATAGTGGTTAAGCGAAAACGCAATCAATTATAAATCTTAAAAAACTTCGTTCCTTCGGACGACTAGCAACCATAAATTACTGTGACTGAAATAAAATAAAAAGTAATTTGTTTTCCACAGATTGGAGTCGTTGATCTCAAATATGCACCTCCTCTTTTAGATAAAAGGGCTTAATTCGTGGTTTGCATTGTTATAGATATGATGGAATTTTACTTTACAACGATCTAAATGGCTGTCTATTTTTATCCTTTCAGCTCCTATAGTTGTAGCAATCAATAAAATTGATAAACACAATGTGAATGTGGTAAGCAAATATTTATTACGTAATTTTTAATTACTGAATGGTGTAAAAACGTACTAATAAAAGCTTATTTTCTTCTATTCATGTTTCATAATATTATAGTGGATTTGGGTGTTTTAATGACTGAATACCTTAGCTAATCAATGATGGATCACGTAAAACGTACCTCAAAAATACATTATCCTGAATTGCATTACTTTAGATAAACACATTGGAAAACAAGATGTCGCTTAACGGAATGTAAGGATGAAAGAATAAAGTTAATTTGCATTAAAATAGTAAATAGATGCAATGAACATTATAGTTATTCGATAATCTAAAAAATGGATTGAGAAAATGTTATTTCAGTTGATTTTCAACTATTTTCACTTTTACGTAAGACCAATGACTTGTGAGATATACATAGTTTGGTATTTAATTACGCAGCATGTTTGGGTCAAAAAATATGTATTCCAGTCCCATAAAACCAACACTACTGTAATGACTACTGTATGATTGGATGGAATCAGTAATTTATTTTGAGTGAACACTGTTTACTAAGGAAAAATGTGTGCACTTTGTCTTGAAACCTCCATTTGCAAAACAAGTGTAATGTTGGCTCTCTCCTTCCACGTGTCTTCTATTCTTCAAAACACTGGTCTTATCATTCACACTTATCGGACACTCTTCTCTTCAGCTGTATCTTCGGAGTGACACTCCGCTGCATATCCGATGCATACTAATTAAAAGCCGCATTGCAAGTATTATGCATCACACTGATAGTTTCTATTAAAGCACTAGCCCTGTTATAATATGTATCGACATGATTCGAGAAGTGAGTAAACGTCTATCAGGTGTCTGCCAAACCAACTTTATGGTTCCACTGTCAGTAAACACTTCACCGCCTCAAATGACTGATACTGTTTTCATAAAATGCAGAGGCCTTGAAAATTGGAAACTCACGTGGGACTGGGCTATTACCTTCTCTATTTTATGATCATAGAAGCCTTCTCGGTTGCACGTTTCGCCTATAGACAACGTCTTTAACACCGATTCTAGTGTTGTTGACTGAGCTGTTCACACGTTGCTCAGTAGAATAACTGATAATTGTTTGATAGAGCTCAACCAGTTCGACTCTTCCTTGAGCTCTCCTAGAGTTAGTGTCAACCCCAAGCCCGGTTAAAGGAAACAGGTTGTGTATGTTGTTCGCAACCCTTCGCGTAAAAGGAGTTTGCTTTTAACTTATGCCGGTTACACTTCGTAGTGCATCATGGGCTCTTTTATAATTATTGCAATATGCTATTCATCATTTGTTGTCTGCCTCCACTAGTGGTCTAAAATTGATTGCCTCGTGATTTCGATGGTAATAGATAGAGTAACAGAACTAGCGATTATTGAAAAGATTAGGCATGTAAGATACAACTCGTGCAGAATATATAAATTAGTGAAATAATAGAAAAACAATTATGAGGAATTTAAAAACAGCATCTAAAGGAACACAAATAGTTTATGCATCTGCACCATTCTGGACGATTTCGAATCATTGAATTCAGAGTCTCTAATGATTGTTAATGGTTATCGCATAGATCCCAACTAGGTAGCCTGCGCCTACCTACATAGATCAGTTAATAAGTCAGTATCTTCATGGGTTGATGCCATCTAGACTTCTTCCAAGATACACATATCAGCTTTCATCGTGTGTCGAAGTAGTCGATGGATGGATATACGTAATGCATTTTCCAGTGTGATAACATTAAAAAATGCGTTACGGTCTCTATAAATATAAGCTTGTTATCAATTTTTATTATTAACAACAGACATATGCGCTACACACGTATTGTGATGAATTTCATCAGCTGTTCATTCAGCAACTCTTTTTGGCGTTAACACTGGGACGTTAGACTAACTATAGTGCTATGCTGTATTTGTAAGTGGATTTCTAGACTTTGTTCTTCAAGTTAAAAATCCAATTGGATTAAAATTCTGACTGGTTTCTTTAGCCTATTTTATATTTTTCAATATGATGTTGATAACTAAGAATAAAAATGAAACTGTAAAAAGTGAAATTATACTTTATGCTATCATCTAGATAATCGTATAACAATATTCCATCCCAAAAAACTTTGTATTCTATTATTTATTAGGATAAAGTAGTTCAAAGTTTAGCTACCTATGAAGTTGTAACTGAACAATTAGGTGGAGATGTACAAGCAGTTCCAATATCGGCATTAAATCGATTAAATCTTTCTGGTTTACTAGAAGCTGTTATCCTTCAAGCTGAAATAATGCAGTTGAAAGCAGATCATACTGGATTGGCTGAAGGTATTGTTTTAGAATCTCAAACACTTCTCGGAATTGGGTAATTATTAGTTTATAGAATATTTTTCTATGTTTGTATGCTGTTTATGTGTCTAAAGTTATTTATTTTCCAATGTATTGCAATTTAAAAAATATTTCAGATATTCTTAAACATTTATATGTGATTTTGTACTCTCTTTTTAAACATATCCTCATTATGATCCATGTTCATAGTAAATTTGTTATTTATCAACATACCAGTTAACTGAAACCAAAATCAAATTTCATAGATCTATATATTACGGGGACGGTATAGCATACAATATACTTAATATGCTTATAACATCCCCGTAATAAGTAAGTCTATGAAATTTGATTTTGGTTTAAGTTAACTGGGATGTTGATTAGTAACAAATTTATTATGGACATGGATAATAATGAAGATATGATTCTAAAAAGTATATGCGCAATGCCGATGACATAGTCCTGTCTGGTAAAGACTGACAAAATATAGTCTTCTGACCACCTTCAGCAACAATGCAAGCATGTTCGGGATGCGATTCTCCCTTCATGATGCAAAATGTTGCTTCAGGATTGGCTCACATCGGTACCTGAACTAGTGATGCGGGAGTGAAGTAGTTGAGCGTCTTAACCGCTTCACTTATCTTGAGTCTTATCACTGCCGACGGCCTGGTGACTGACAAAATCTCAGCACGGATACAGAAGGCTCGACTGCGTTTCACCAACCTGCGTCGCTGATGGTGTAGGAGCGATATGCTCCCTCTTCCAACCAAAGGACGAGTCTTCCGCGCAGCAGTTCGCTCTGTCCTACTATACCCGTGTGAAACATGGCCTGTAAGAGTAGAGGATATTGGATGGTTACTAGTATTCGATCATTGGTGTCTTCGAAGCATTGCTCGTATATCCTGCAACAATCGAGTAAACAATACAGTTGTTAGGAAAAGGGTATTAAGTAGGGATGTCAGATCAATAGATGAAGTAGTGCAACTCCATCAGTTCAGGTGGTTGTGACATGTTTTACCTATTCCCAACCGCTGACTACCTCGGCGAGCGATGATGCCTGGTGTAGGTGTGGGCGGCCAAAACAAAATATGGCACAAACCCATGAAGTCACTGACAACTGGACTGAGCCATGTTGGTAGGTGTAGTCTGTCTGGTTTGGGGTCCGTGAGACAATAGTAACAGATGGTCAGAGACTTTGAATAACATGGCACAAAATCGTCGGCAATGGTGCAGGTGAACCCACTCTTTGTGTACTCCTAAACTCTAATCTAAATGCCTCACTACCTTTATGTTCCTCCTTTTTTAAAATTTATTTCACTGGATTATAATTCTTGAATGATTTCTTCGAACCGCTTATACTTCTGCTACATCTGCCTCTATGAGATTTGAATTGACAATCACGTCTCTGTGCTTAATGTGCTTCGGCAACTTGAACTGATGTACCTACGTATGAAGTTCTACGTTGTAGCTGATTGATTATGTACTTATCTTTACAAGTTTACTTAGAACAAGTAAGAATGCAGGTTTAGATAATAGTTTTCACTTTATGAACTATCCTGAAACTCTGTTTGTGAGCTTGATTCTGTTAGGAGTTATGGATGCCATATTGTAGAACGGTTTCAAATTGAAAAGAAACGGATATCTGGGGTTTTTCGGATTTTAATCATTGCCTAAATGATATCAGTTCGCGGTGAAAATAATCTTCAAACCATGTTAAAATCCACACAGTATCATTTTACTTTATGTACATTAGTTAGATGCAAAGATGTCTTCCATTATAAATTAACCTTTCTTTAATTTTGGGCTTTCTATAAACTGGCTTGTTTTTCTTGTTACTTTATTTCAGTCACAGTAATTTATGGTTGCTAGTCGTCCGAAGGAACGAAGTTTTTTAAGATTTATAATTGATTGCGTTTTCGCTTAACCACTATAGGGTTCCTTTTAAACCACAGATATTTCATTCATTTCTCTTATAGAAAAACGGCTACTTGTCTGATTACTCGAGGTGTTTTGCGTAAATCGCCCAAGAGTGGTCCACTTATAGCTGGTGAAGCCATCTGTACCCCACGAATCTTGTTAGCCGATACAGGAAAACCTGTGGATTCAGTTAAACCTGGATATGTAGCGCGAATAGCAGGTTGGAAAGACCTCCCATCTGCAGGAGATCTTATCCTAGAGTTGGAATCTAAAGTAAGTCGTATATTTTATGTTGGTTGATATGACCTACACGTTATTCTTTATTTCTGCTAGATGGGATTATGAAAATTTCGCTGAGTTGAGGATGATTTTTTTTGCAAATTGATCTCAATCGCGTAACTACTCTTTGAAATGAGTTTCCTTTCGACTTCTGATTTCAATTTTTGTCAGATATGTGCTTAGCGGTTCTAATGCTTGACTAAACTCAACGTTACATAAATATATCTGCATCCTACTTCTCTTCTATATGATAAGTTTGTGATCAAAATGCTGTTATCATAACTTGCATATTATATGATTAGGTGAGATAATATGGTATGTTAAACAATACAGTTTCTGCAAATTATAAAATGATTATCGTAATTTGAACTTTAAATATAGTCCAGCGTAAAATCCTTTGAAATAATGTCCCTTAATTCTTTATAACTGTTGCTCATCGTGAATCATTGATTGCTAACCAGCAATGGTCTACTTACTCTCCCCCTTGCCTTTCCAGTTGTTGCTAAGTGGTACCCATCTTTTCTGTCTGTATACACATGTTGTTCCTTGATCTTTCTCTTTTCCTTTTCTCCTGGAGATCCCTCCTAAGGGCCTGTTTCGCAAATCGGTTTATTGATTTCCGCTATTATTTTCCTACCGACCTCAAACGTCTTTTACTCTTTAGTTGGAAGTTGGTTTGTTCTTTAACATAGTGGGTTGGTATTGATGATGTCCAACTAACAGATCCGGAGTATTTTGCGTAATTAACTGTTGATAAATACTTGTGCCCTCTGGGTGAGGATGGCTATAGAAGTTCCCCAAGCTTCAGCTCCATATAATATGACTGTCTTGACATCTGTAATGGAAATTCTGACTTTGTTGTTGGTTGATAGTTGTTTTGAGGTCCAGATGTTCTTCACTAGTAGGAATGCCTCCCTTGTTTTGCGAATCCGTGCATTCCTCTTGTTTATCAGTGATACTGCCTAGGCACGTAATAGTTTATAACTCCTCCAGAGATTATCCACCAAGTATGATTCGGGATATTATCCCTTCTCTCTGTTCTCTTGTCTTTCATGGACCTAAGGTTCTATTTAATGATAGCAAAGCTAAGAATATATTTCTAAAACAACAAGAAAAAACAGTTATTCAGTCATGTAGTATGTGATGCGCACCTCGAGGCGGTTTGAAATGATATCCGTGAAGCTGTGGAAACCGCAATCATATCTACCGGTAAGGCAAACCATACGGTTAGGGAAAAACAGTAGATTTCATCAGCATCTAGCTAATTGACAGCTATCCGGAAACCCATCCCGTTGAACTCCAAGTACGATGAGCAGCGGAGTCAGCCTAAGCGCAGTCTGATAAAAAGCTGCGCAATGATTACGAACAGTGGTGGGTAGAGAAAGCGAAAGAGGTGGAAATGCCGGTAGCTATAGGTGATTGTAGACAACTGTGCGGACTTATCAAGGAAACCGGATTCAGGAATCCACCTGTTAGTGAAACTATCTCAGAAGAAAATGGGCCCATCATTTATTCTCAATCCAGGAGATTGGATCGATAGGCAGAACACTTCTGGGATCAATTCAACTGGCCATCAGCCACTATTCTGTTACCCACTATCTCCGGTCAACCTGAATGACAATTCTTTATGAAGTCGAGAAAGCTATAGGAAATCTAAGGCGAGGGAGATCTGCAGGCCCTGATAGGTTAACTTCTGATATTTTTAAGGATGGTGATCCAGTTATAGCAGTTAGATTGACTGAGATCTTAGGTCGAATCTGGAAACTGAACCTCATCCCATCCGACTGGTCTCTGTGACTACTCTTTTTGATTACCGCTCATACTTCTACTGCTATGGGATTTGATTTGACAAATGCCCCTCTGTGTTCTTATGTGGTATGGCAATTTGAACTGATGTACGTACATACCAAGTTCTACATTGCAGCTGACCATTTTATTGTTATTTTCAGTTTGGAATTCGGTAATTTATTGTCCAATAATTAAATCCTCGAATTTCGATGCAGTGTATTTATCTGATTTATGTGATATTATTTCATTTCAAATTCTAGAAATTGTTGTATCATTTCCATATAAATTTGTTCGCTGAATAATGTTTTGGAAATTTTGTTATCTGTTGTTTTCCTGTATCACTTCAGAGGCGGGCGGATGAAGTTCAGCAGTTTCGACGACGTATAATAATGCAACAGAAAGCTATAGAAGATCGTAATGCTTATGATGTTCAAGCATCCCGCCATCGAGAATATCGCAGTAAATACACTGAAAAACGTTTGACTCTTCATCGCAGCCAGTGGCGAAAATTTAAGGTATGTATTTTAATCTTGTCTGTCAACTTCAACCTATAACAGATTTGAATTATTAATATAACTTAGATTTTTTCTCTTCAAAATGTTTCGGTTTTTCTAGACGTTGTTATCTAGAATAGAAAATTTCAGTCGGGATATTTCTATACCATAACCATCAATCAGGTATTTTTAATTTTTACGAAACGGCAACATTTGAACTAGAAAATTCACTAAGTTACTTGAATGTTATACAACTTCAGTTCATAAAGTTCATCATAGTTATTAAGTTTCCATGTTATCTGAATGTCAATTAGTTACTAGGTTTGTCCATCGTAATTTTGTCCTTCAGAACAAAGCTTATATCAATTCAGCTATTCCAAGTGGCGTTTTCACATTATCCTATCTTTTTAATAATTCCGATTCTAATTGCGTATACCCTTTAATTCAAACAAACGTGTACGCTCTATTAAATGCTGTACAAAAATAAAAAGCCTGTTCAGTCTCACTTAAGGTGTGACAGGCATTGAGCGACAGAAACTTTGCATCAGACTGTATCGTTTTCACATTTTGTTCAATTCAATCAACGCTTGATTTTAATGATTCTTCTTGAAACTGAAATTTGTTCAAATAACTGCAAACTGTTTGCTCAATTCATGAATAAATATATATGAACAGATGTTATTTCCAGTGTTTAAAAAAACCACTACCGAACATAACAGTGGTGAATCAATCACTTTGATAATTTGAAGAAATTTTGTTTCAAAACTTAATTTATTGCATTGTCTGATGTTTTGTAATTGCAACAATTGTTTCCTAATCGATTGACTAATCGTTATCCTAAACTATATTGAAAATGTTAAACCCTGCTCTTCATACTTCACTACTTATGGTATTATTAATGAATATTTTTGGTGCTCGTTAATGTCTTGTTTTTCTAATCACTCATAGAAAGCTATCAATGTACATATTGTAACAAGAGTTATTGACAAAAAAATTCATTAGTATCAAATCACTGAAATATCTTATACATTTAGTTTTTTTAAGACAATCCTGGATCCATAATACTGTACATCTTAGGTGTATCCCATTGTATTATTGTTAAAATCATTTCCGAATGTCCAATCATATTCTCAACATATTTACAGTCTTTCTAACTTAAGCATCAGTCAGCAACTGACTAGACTTCATAAAAGTAATAAAAATTAAATTGAACTGGCGTCCCTACTATGTGTAGATTGAAATATATCATGAAGTCTAGTGGTTTATCGGTTAAAGTACCTACATTTCAATGATTGGTTTGGTCTTTTCTTCAGTATGGATACCTTGTTAGTATAACCAACCGATTGTACCAAAATTTTGGAAAACTTATACTTGATCATCAGGTTCCAGTAATAAATTAAATATTCATGAATTACAGAATGAAACACAAATTAAAAAAGGGAACCTATTAGTCCTAAGGAATATCTTACTAATCTTTACCAATCGTCAGTTTACATTCTAGTATTTAATTTCTGAAAATTGGTTTTAGATGGAACATAATTCATCTGAGTTTAGTTCATATCAGGAAAATTCTAATGAAGTTTCCGTATCACTCATAATCAAAAGTGATGTACAAGGTAGTTTAGAAGCGATAAAAACACTCCTTTCAACTTATCCATCAGATCAATGCAAAATAGAATATTGTGTTACTGGTGTTGGTCCATTGACTGAATCTGAAGTAGAAGCTGCAGCTGCAGTTGATGGTTAGTTTCATTTTATCAATTGATTGTATAATCTTCAGTATGGATAACATTTTGTGGATTTATGCTTTGGAAGATTGACTTCAAATGACCAGTTTATAATGGAGTAAGGATTCTTATTTACTAACGAAGTCTGAATAGCTCTTAGAAAGATGGTGTAATTTAGTATCAAACCTCGGTCAGTCAACCAGTTACAACGTAGAACTTCGTACGTACGTACTTCAGTTCATGTTATCACACCACATTAGCACAGAGACGCAACTGTCAATTCAAATCCCATAGTGTTAAAGACAGTAGGAGTACTACTGGTAATAGAGACGATTAGAGTTCCAAGATATTATTCAAGAAGTATTATTCAGTGAGATAGGTTTAGAAAGACAAAAGCAGAGGTGTTGACGAATCCAGAAGATTAGGATCTGAGAGAACACGAGGAATAAATGCACCTGCTCCATTGCAAACGATTTTGAGCCATGTCGTTCAAGGTCTCTAACCATTGGTGACTTTCGTCTCGCGGACCCAACCAGGTAGTATACACTTAACAACAAGACTCAATCCACTTATCAGTGACTTCATGGATTTCTGCCATGTCAATCTGGCTGCTAAAACTGGACCACCATCCTTAAATATCTCAAGGGTCAATCTGTCAGGTCCTGCTGCTTCAAATTTCCTATAGCTTTCTCAGCTTCATAAAGACTAGGAGGAATTATATCGATTTGCCATTCAGGATGACTGCAGATCGTGGGCAACCGAAGTGTGGGTGAAGGTCAGTTGAACTGATCTCTGAAGTGCTCTACCCATGGATCCAATCTCCTGGATTGAAAATGAATGATACAGCCATCCTTTTCTGAGACAGTTTCACTAACAGATGGATATAGTACCGGTTTCCTTTATAAGGCTGAACAGCTGTCTATTGCCGCTGCCTTTTCCATCGCTTTTGCTTTCACCACCCACCACTGCTCGCGATCGTTGCGTAGGCTTTTAATCAACCTGCACTTAAGGTGACCTCGCTCCTCATCATGTTTAGAGCCAGGTAGGATGAGTTTTCGAGTGTCTCTCATTTCGTTTGATGCTACCTAGATGCACGGCTTATCCCCAACCTTGTGGTTCATCTTATTATTATTGCTGTTTCCACAGCCTTTTTGCATATCATTCCAAGCTACCTCCGGACGGTAATCATTTACATGGTCGCCTATCTGTTTCTCTAGTTGTTCCTGAAATATATTCATGGCTATGCTATCATTTGGTAGAACCCTAAAAGGTTTTCTAGCGGTGTCATTCGTACGTCCAGTGAGTCGCAAACATACACGCGCTTGCACTAAATCTAAACATGTGCTCATAACGAGCGATAGTCCTTTATTGAACCTCTCTATCGGTAGCTGATATGGAAGTGTTCTAGTTAGGTCCATCGTGGGAACGACTTTGGGGGTCTCCAGGTCAACAGATATTTTTCTTAATGCCTAAAGTTAGTGTTTGCTAGAAGAAGACGAATATCTGAGCATAGTTGAAGTAGTCGGTCGCCAGTTTTTGATTTTTGAGCCACGACACCATAAGATCCACCCAGGCGTCTACCTACTTTAGCATCAAATTCCCTAGCCGTTATTACTATATCAGATCGCCTAACATTTTTGCCTGAAAGCTTATGATCATCATAACCATTAAAATTAACAACCTAGTCGTCAGTAATTCTATTAGCATAAACAAACTAGTTCCATTAAATTTTTGAGTATAATTTTTATGCATACAGTTTAGATGTAAGTTTAATAGTTCATAATTTTTCCATTTCAGCAACTGTACTACTATTCAATATTCATGCTCTTCCAGAAGCAACAAGTAGAGCTAAACAAAAATGTGTTAACATTAAGGAATTCAATATTATCTATAGATTAGCTGAAGAAGTTAAAGAATTAGTGAATGAAAAGCTTCCACCGGTATTAGTTGAAAAGATAATTGGTTAGTTTATATATTCATTACACGAACTTGAAATTAGCTATGCTTAATTTTATTATTTTATATTGTTTTACTGAACAGTTATTTTCTGTTGTATTCGAATAATTTTAAGCTGGTTTACGCTAAAAAAAAAAGATACTACGATATTCCTATGAGTTTTGCTGAAGTGGTTTTTACAAGATCATTTATGAAAGACAAGTCACACTAAACATCTCATATTCTGTTACAGATGTCAGATGAAATAATTCTACTCTCAGAAGGTTCACTCGTAGCTTAATTACATTAAACACGACAAATGTGATTTGATCCTCATTTATTTGCTAATATATCTTTATTATTAACATACTTTATGTTAATATATGTACATATTTTGACCATAATCATAGATCCCACCCTAATATTCGGCAGGGAACATGTGATTCAATTCAAGTTCTTCACTGAATGATGTTGATGAGACACCCTCTATGACACAATGTAATTTATTTTAGGATCCCTAATCTACATTCGCTTAAATGTCTAACATCTACTTTGTTGATTAGCTCAAAGTTTATGATCAATTTTCAATACAATATTTATTTTGTTAAGCAGTTTATATTTGAATCCTTTATCTTATATTGACTTGTATTTTTAAAGGCTTTTCACAGTTTTTGCAATATTTGTCCGAAATTTTTGAAAGTCGGTGGAACAACACTAGGATCACAATCTTAAAACCATATACGCAGAAATGCCTATCTTTTCAAGAATGTCGTATTCTAAATGTTTTTTATTTAGTGGATCCATTTGAATAATGGAATACGGGACAAATTGTTTTTGCATTAATGTTTCAGATGTAAATTCGCATCATATGAAGTAGGCTTGATGTCTAATTCTCTTGTTATATCATGCCATTTTCGTCTTTCAATTGTTCAGTAGAATGTTTGTTTTAAATAATTTTGAGAAATTTAGGTCTTGTATAAAAACTCTCGTAAATTTAAACTCTAAAAGAGATTAATTTTTGTATTTCACACAATAAATTAGTCTTGTTATTAATAGTGTAATATTGGTATTGATGCACTCTTAAATTTTTCTGTGATTATTTTTCTTTCGATTCGTATGTATAGAAAAATGCTAATTAACTTTGTTGTTTATAGGTGAAGCGGAAATTCTCCAACTATTTACTATTAAAACACCTAGAAATGTTGTAAAGACTGGACTATTACCAGTCGCTGGATGTAGATGTATTAAAGGAAGTATTATCGCTAACATAACTAAAATAGGTTCTATTCTTACAGATCTAGGTAAGATTATATAAATATTTTGTTTTTTTTCTTGTTGCTGTTGTTCAAAGTCGTTATTATTCATAGTATTGTACTGTAAACACGTTATTCTACATAATTTACTTTGTAAATATATGTACATATCTTCGAAATCTTTTGATACTATGTGGTGAACTGATGCGACTCAATATACTACACCTTCAATATTGACCGGGGTTTATTAACATTTCGATTATCATACAGGTTGTATTCACCGTAACGCCTGACTCAGGAATAATTTTTTGCTTTTAATAATACAGTTAATTTTTTGGCTTGTCACGTAATTGTCGACCTGTTAGGATGACTGCTTTAACTGATTGTTTATGTTGCTTAATCTAAATTAACTTGATTATTTCATATTATTTAACACTGGGATATTCCCAAAATATACAAGAATATAAAGATTTAAAAATTTTTCACATACTTTAAATGCGATTTAATCGAAAGAAATTAGACTAGAAGCATTGTTTAGCTAAACAGTTTGTTAATAAACTACTCAAATGATGCGAAAACATATCCAAAATGTACTCTATGTGATGGGCAGACAGACAGATACAACACAGAACTTCGTACGTATGTACATCAGTTCAGGTTGCCATACCGCATTAGCACAGAGACACAACTGTCAGTTCAAGTTACTTAAGTGAGCCTTTTACAGATACAAAAGTACAACAAAGCACTTACACAGATATACATATAGAATGGTGAAATAATTAAGCTATCTAATCAATAGGGTATTCTCAATAATTTTTAAAATTACCGTTTTACATTACCATTTGTACTAACTCGTAGTCTGATACAAAACAATATTTTTGAAGAATATGGATTGATTTTTTTCGTTTTAAATAGATTTCAAGTGTCAAGTTATAAAAATATTGGTATGGTTTTACAGAGTAGCTTTTCGTAAATAGATTTTTTACACTGATCGTTGTTAGTGAAATCTCGTCAATAGAGTAATGATATTTTCAAATCATATTCTTAACGATTTTTGTCGCTGTGTATTAGATATCTAGCTTTGAATAAAATATTCGTTTCTCCAACTGCAACATTTATATTTAATTCACTTTAGTGATATTTTAAGAAAGGTTCCTTTGTCTTTCCTGCTTTTTTTCCTAAACATTATATGGTATCTTATAGCTTCTATCAATGCCCTCAACTTAGTTAAATGTTAGTCGTACAGTATTTTTGTATTTTGTCTTTTATTATAAATTTTAGATGTTGATAGTAAACCAGTGGAATTGTGTTACCGCGTTGTCCGTCCAACACACTATCCAACATCTCCAGACAATGGAAACAGAGAAAATTCAACTACCACCGAAAATAATTTTTCCGATTCTAAAGATATCGTAGTAAATCGAGCTAACTGTTACTCACTGCGTCATGAAAAATCTGTAGTTGACAGTATTCGAAAAGGAGTACACTGTGGTATTGTACTAGCTTATCCAGAAGTTCCAAATACTCACAGTGAGAATAGAAATGTATCAGCAGAGAATTTTATTTCAGAATGGAAAGTAGGAGATATAATCCAATGTTTTATAACAATAAACGAAAAACCTTCAATCGATTGGGATTTTGAGACTTACAATATAGAAACAGCAAATACTCAAAATGGCATAACTTGATCATTTTTATTGATAAAACAAGAAAGAAATAGACTGTATAGTAGAAATGACTTATCAATAAATATTTGTTTACCATTGTACTACCTGAGTTTTAAATTATAAATATGATAAAGTGATTTTTGTGTCATTACGAATGAATTCTAAACGTTAATGTGATCTAAATAACTGTTTAACATAAAAAAATATGTTTCTATAACTTCTACCATGGGAAGATCAGAATATGTAACGTAGCATCGCTCACGTTTTTTCCGATGCTGTCGCTTCCTTATGTTGATGAAACTAACGAAGACTGTTATGTATTGTTGTATTTAAGACGATTAGTTTCATAAATTGAAAATACTACAGTCTTCAAGGTTAATAATTGTTCTCAAGATAATTACAGTAGAACGTTATAATGATTACTTTGCCAAACTTCAAAACTGCTTTCTGAACATATTTTAATTTACAAATTCTTAGAAGACATAATATTGGACTGAAATAATGTGATATCAGCGCTATATCGTGATGCATTAAAATCAAATTGTAATTTGAAGAATCTCATCCATGAGAATAATGAAATTATATTACGCAAGACTACAACTTTTTGTATTTTGATGGGCTTGCCTCATAGCACTAACATTAAAATAGAACTAATGATATAATTTTAGTTTGAATCTGAATATATATATAAGTTTTCTGTAACCCCCATAAGGATATAGACTAGTGTTAAACTAAACGGTCCCTTGTTCTATGAGTAGCAGATTGAGTTTATTTCTGTTGTTGGGATACAAAGTTAGAATTATTTGCTGACATATATACAACTTTTCCGTTTATTATAAAATGAGCATAACGGCTGCACGAAACGCTTTCACTGCTGTGCCTATTAAACGAAATACTGGATATGATTGGTTACCGCTAACGAGATCCTAGTTCTTTTTAAGCGTTAGTTCTTCCAAGTAACAGTAACTACGAGCATCTTTTTCTCTAATTTATGTTTCCGCTATTATTTATTTAATTATTCTGACTTTTAGTTTGCTAATTTTACTGTCCCAATGTCATAACTTGTTGCTGTATATAAATAGGTGCTTCGATTCGGATGTATCTTCTTAAATATCGAGTTTCACTGATTGTCTTGACTTCTCTTTGTCAAGGGTTTTCGTCTCAGTTACCAGTCTATAGAGTTTGAATCAGAGGAATCTTAATCATCCTTAATTCGAAATTACCGTACACCCAGTCACAAGTTATAACAGACAGATATCATTCGTATAATCAGAATACTAACGGACATTTCCACACAGTTTTTTATTTGATCAAAAATATAAATTATGTACACAAGATTAAGAATCACAAACAATTTGACTATGATTGGTCAAATCTAATCCGTCTTCCTAAAAAATCTAAATATGTTACATTTTAAGTATATGATATAAATTTATGAGTCACAAGGTGTTATTAGTTGGTTAATATCACTAATTGCTTTAAAAGGGTCGTCTTTATGCAACAGTAAATAACCTTGGACTTGTGCTGAACTCACAGGTGTATCCTTTAATAGACTCGCAAACTTTTGAGCCAAAACATCAATGTCAGACGACATCCATTGAGGGTAAAAGCGGCTAAACATACGCATTAGTTGAGATGAGTCACAAACGTCAATTCGTATACGCATGTCGACACGGCCGGGTCGTATTAAAGCAGGGTCAAGTCTGTTAAATAAAAAGTAATTCAACAAATACATTACATTACATTTTCCACGAGCATCATAATTTCGGTATGGAATACTATGAATGAGAGCAGTTTTTTCTGTTTGCCAAAACAGATCTGTGTTCAATCATTCTTGCTCTGGCAACACCATGTTATTAATGCAGACACTCAACAATGTGTTCGGGCACAGTGACGATAATTTTATTGGTGTAATTGTCTTGAAACACTAGCTTCAGTAGCTTTCACTTGTATTAGGAGTATCGCGTCAGCGACTTCCACATCACGTTTTAACTGCCGATGCTGAGACTGGTTAGAAAAGTCGGATAGGTTGTCAGTTTGTGGCTCTGTACCGTGAAATGAAAAAAAAGCTGTACAGGACTGCCGTCTATCATGTTGTCATAGTTCCCTGGTTGGGATGCTATGGATGATGCAACTCAGATGTTATCGATCATGATCACGCTGCTTCAATGTTTTTTAAGCATTCTTAAATGTGAGATGAACTTCTTTATCTCGAATAACTGTCGATAATCTCGTTTATATGTTTAACTGAACTGTCTTTTACACAGTGCTCTTGCTCAATATTTAATGTTTTTACCATCGTATTGTTTCTCGCTAGCAATTTATTCATATTTTGTGGCCGTTTTTAAATGGTGCAATGTTGTACCAGGTTTCATGTTTCAAATAACTGAGCAGTAAATGATACCTGAGTATGGCAGAAAAAAGCGTTTTTATTCAGTGATCAACAATCAGCTCTGTTCTACGGAGTGTCAGTTTTTAGTAATTTAGTTTATTATTGCTTACCAATATAGAAAATTTACTTATGAATGAATACAATTTAAAATGAATGACTCAACTATGAACTAGTTTTGTTTAGGAAGAAGTCGTTTTAAGTGTTAATTATTCAATATATAGAATATGTGACAGCCGTTTAACTTCTAGCCGATAAGTGGCAAGCTCGAATGCTGATCCGTCTTCTTTGTTTTGAACTACTGGATAAGGTGATTTGAAGAAAATTAAACGCTTGCACTGGAGAAATGAGACTTTAAGTAGCAAAAACGTTTCTATACAAGCACTGGGATACTCACCTATCAATATAATTTGTAGTCATGAATATGATTCGACCATCTGTCGAAGTTACACCATCCAGTGCATTTAACAATCCACTCAACGTGAGTGTTGGCATACCTTCATACGCTAAACGATGTTAAATTAGAAAATAGAAACGCAACAAACCTTTGCTATGAATTGTATCATTATTTGACTTGCCACGATTATGAACTGCTGCGTCGATATCCTCAAGTAAGATGATAGTCTGAAGCGGTGCATGCGTTAATAGATGATCTAATCGATCTGCTGTCATGCCGAATTCGCTTAAATTCAATATGCTAATGCTATAATCTAAATGACCTAGAAAAGAATGTTAAGTAATTCATTCATAAGTTACAACAATCAAATTATTAAAACATGTTAGCTGCATTATGAATATAAAGAGTTCCCTAATCTATCTAACTTTAATTGAATCGACTGAAAAAAGTATAGTCATGTGTAACAATTTGAATCAATGTTCAATATTTCGACAGCATCCCTTATATATAATTAACAAAGAATGGAATTATACTAAAATTTTAAAGAAAGCGATAAATGGTATGGCGAAACCTATATTTATATTAGCTTATGTCATAAAACTATTTTGGTAAATATTGCATCCAGTATCATTCATATAGTGAATTCAGTTTATTTTTAAAATTTCAAATACGTTTCTAATAAATGACTATGCAAAGTGTGATATTGCTCTATTTAGTAAAATTTAAGTAGAATGAAGCTAACTAAAGTTATTAGTCTATATGTAGTTAAAGGTAATAAAGTAATAAAATATTGTTGTTTCTATATGTTGAAACTTTTGAAAAGAAATCACTTGTACGAAGTAATTTGTTTCTATATATTTCGATCCTGGCAAATTATTACTATTGTTATTATAAAATATTAAAGAACAGAAATTTATTTTAGTGGAGAGTGATTTTTAGAATTAAAAAATAAAACTAAAAGACTTAATATACATCGTTATAAAAGTTTTTATGTTAAGCAATTTATTCTATGTAACTGAATGAAAATGAAATACGACAATTCATTGCTCTGACATTCACATAACAATTTTAATATATAATTCATATCACTTATAGGTGTAGAGAATTGTTCTGTTTTTTTTTATTTTACAATTAATCAAATTGATATTTTCTGGTGAAATGCATACATTGATTATTAATCTACAATTGATCATTCTTTGTTTAAACAATACCCTACTAACATTGTCAAATAATGATTATAAAAACTAAGAGCTAACAAATGATAAATGCGTTACCGGCTAAGGCTGTTATGAAGCTGGTTTTGCCACATCCTGGAGGTCCGTATAGTAAGTAACCACGATGATATGGTATACCACGATCAGTATACCAGGTCTGATTGTCTAAATAACAAACGGAAAATCAGTGCATAGAAGATAAAAAGATAAATTCCCTTATAAGTGCAAAACTTATTGGCTAACAAAGGAATTTTATTAAGAAAGATTACTTTGCAACAGTTTAAAGACTGAACTATAATTTAATGAATAGAGACTAGTGTTCACAATAAACACTGTTATTTAGTTCCATGATAAATTTGAATGAGATGCTTGATAAAACTACAAAAATTCATTTACATTCCTGGAATTAAAGTTAGCAAAAGTAACTGACAAACGTAATGCAATTTTATTATTCCCGAGGAAAGTAATCAATCGAATTCCCATGGTAAAGGATCGACAGTAATGTAACACAAGATCTACATGAATGAATATATGTTTGTAAGAAGTTTGTCAATTATGAGCATTTAAGCTCTTAGTAATGATTAATAAAATTCAATATGTTGTATATCAAACAATAAAATAAAAGATGATAATAATGGTATAAACGAAAAAATTTCAAGTTATTTATAATGATCTTATAATCACTAACAGCTTTATGAAGACGGTCATAATAGAAACTAATTTAAAACAAATTGAAATATAATGAAATGATTCAAAAACTGATCAACATAAATTATACGTTCACATAATTCGTATTGTATATAAAATCATCAATACAGTAAGAAAGTAACGTTGTCATAAAAGTAAAATATTGATTAATATTCGATCAAACAAATAAGGAACGGATAAATCTTTAGATTGATTACTTGATAGGAATTTTCTTCATTCTATTCTGTGGGAAATTCTAAGCGGAAATTTATTTACAATATTATTCAACTAATACATCAGTTTTTGATTGATACCCGCATGAACTATATTTATTAAACAATGACTACAGCTTACCTACCGACGAATTCCTTGACATCAGCTACAATAGTTTCCGCTATACCATCACGCAATATGACAGAATTTAACGGTCGACGTGGACGAGGATAACCAAACTGGCGCCATTCTGAACCGACAGCCTAAAGAAAACAATGGAAAACAATTAAAATTAATTGAACATAGGATGCTTACATAAAACAAGTGTGACTGATAATTAATTAGTAGAAATCTGAAAACTATCCAGACGCAATATTCACTATAAGATAAACAGATGAAGTAAATTAGCTAAGATCACAAGCGTTTCTATAAGAATTGCGTACGGTCAAATAAACGTAAAGTAATGGGATAAATATATTAAGAGTCGACTTGGATTAAAATATCCATTCATGACTCATTTAATTATATATTCAAACTGTTAAATCTCAAAAGATGATATGTTACAAAAAACCTACTAAGTGAGACTAAAGAATCATGTGATTATCATTTTTAAATAGTAAATGACAACGACAATTGATGAATGGAAAACTAATTTAGGAGAATATTAGTTCTACCAAACGATTATTTAACCAAAAATTCTTTAAAATACTTGAGATAATCTGATAAAAAATAATTACGCAAAAGTTTAGAACTCTCGTAATTCAGTATCTTTGCGATACTGAGTAACGTGCAAAGTTAGGGTCAAAAACAGATATTTTAAGCGAAGCAGTATTAGAAGAATGGACAGCATCTTTTAATTATTTTATTTGTGGTCATACATTTCTGAAACTTCACCTGAAGCCCTGCTGTGGTTACTGCCGATCCCAAACCCGGATAAACAGGGAGTGTTTAGCATAGAGTTGGCGACCTTATCCCGCAGTAATCCAACTCGCTAAAAAAACGCTAGCCAGAAAAAATAGTCCGTTGATCGGCAGCCTATGTTCTATTAGGAGTAACAGGCGTGATTAAGCATACATTTTTAAAACTTGTAGATGATATAATGAGCCCCGATTATTCCTATGAAAATATCCAAAATATAAATAAACAACGATATGTGAAAATAGTCACACGTTAGTAATAAGCTAAAACTGATATACAATAATAAGGATAATTAGTGTGATAAGTTTTTCTTTGTGATATTAGAATAAGATCAGAATGATTGATAGTTATGAAAATTAAAAACGTAAAAGGATTTGTAGGCATGTACCTAAATTTACCTTGTAAACAACAGTCCAACCTTTCTCGCGTGCGAGAGCTTCTTCTCTAGCCTCCTCCAGCAAATCTATAAAAAATCTGGCATTGCGACCGAATGTCGTAAGAGTTACACTCTCGAATGGAGCTACAGTAGCACCTTGTAGAGATTGTTGAGCACGAACACGTTCAATTCGAATTAATTTCATTTGATGAATCATATAATGAACGCCGACGCTGGGCACAAAGCCGAATGCAGCTTTGATTCGGCCTCCTTCTGTACGTACTACACTAGTTTCAACACTTATGTGTTGACTTGTACCACCTATTTTGTTTCTTCCACCTTTCATGAAAGATCCATTAGATTTCATTGTAATCCAATTTAAAACCCAGGGATAGGCCTTGTCATGACTGGCTACTTCTAAAGTTAAAGTAAGATTGCGGCGAACAAGAAGGTTTATAACTTGACTCATTCTCTTAATAGCAGCCATTCCTACCCCGACTCCAAATAGCCCAGCACCAGCGCTAAAATATGGGTTATCTTTCAAAGTGGAGGCTGCCAAACTTTGTATAGTTTCCATTGTCCTAAAATGTGGTCAAATGAAGAGTAAATTATAGTTTAGAAAGTTGAAAACGTTAAAAGTCTACATTCACACTACTTGTTGACAACAGACCACAAAGCATCAACTTCTTATAGCAGTTTAATGAAAAACTATTTATGATTACAGAAACTCCTAAGCGACAGTATTTTGCCTCCATCTGGTTTTTAGCATTGATGGTCCGAAATTTTCATCATTTTGAAATTCACTGGCTACAATGGACATACAGATAGATGCCTGAAGGATGTTAGCTTAATTTATAAGATATGAACAATAAGAGCATTATTATACCGTGGAAAGTATAGTAGAGAAGAATGAATTACCGAATATTTTTGGATATTACTATTTAAGTCGATATTTAGAAAGAACCAACTGTTCAAAATAATTATTTTAATGCAACTAATAAAAACACTATCCATCTTACGGTAATTTATATAATTCTTATTCGAAAAGCCATGGCTTCTGATTGTGAGTATAGTAAATAGCATTTATGTGATCAAATAGCCAAGCTATTAAAACCGAATCTACACAATGATCAATCTTATTAAACAATGACAATAATTGATATAAAGAGGACTCAAAGAATTAGTGGGAGAGAAAAATTAAATCACTAGCCCAATAACCTATATCAATATATTAATGACTGATTTGTTATATTCGGAAGGAAAGAAAATTAGATAGGATATATAACGTTTAGCTTATCTAGGCAGTCCTAATTACTTTGCACCTTAAAAAGTAGAAAATGTTCAGAAATCAGCCTAATTCAAAGTGTAGTTTTATGAAGATGTGAAATATGGACATCGGAAAGAAAACTTTCTACAGGAAGTTCAGAAACTATCAAATGTTAGCAATAAGAAAATGGGATGGAATAAGTTGTATTCTTCATATAACAGCTTAAAAGCATAACTGATTTATCTTAGCAGATGTAAAATGAAGATTATAATGAATGTCGTTCTCTTTCCTCATTATCAACATGATTGTCATGATAAAGGTATAACAAGTGTCACGATCTAATTGATTTATATGGTGGAACTATATGACACGGTTATGTGAATCCATCAGCAAAAAGTCAGATCTGAATGTTTAAAATAAACATAAAATGACTCCGTACTCCATGCAAGTTACCAATTATACTGACAATCTATTAGGATGATTATACTCTAGAAAATACAGGCTACAATCAAAATAACAGATACGAAGTTCACAATCCAAAGGATTGTAAACACGTATGAGAAAACCTTGATATCATGGCCAACATAAATCATTACAATTCGTACAGGTTGTTGTATCGCACGGAAAGTTGTAATAATTATTGTTTGACCTATAAAATCATCCTGAACTGTTTGCAGTGACCGATAGGAATTAATAATCAACTCCCAAGCTCGACATATATCACTTACAAAGTAACCCTAAGAGACGACAGTTGTAGTGATTACGATAATATTCAAATAACTGGAAAGGAAACTAATTATAGATATGTGAAAATATATGTACGAGTAACAGCTCAGTAGTGGTGGTTTTAATGAATACAAAAAAACCGGTAAGGCTAGAATAACGTACTGCTTTATCAAATTCGTACCCGGTATTTTGTGAATTCCTGAAACGTACGTATATATGTCTCATAAATTGATTACATTCACGAATACGCAGCTCGAATAATGCAGAAGCTGCTTGAATTGAAAATTCAATCCATGCAAACTATGTTTCTAAACCACTAATCAAGTTACACAGTTACTGTTGAGTTTCATATAGCTCAGTTGTGGGGTGGTAAGAATTTTGTTTCAAAAAACCGACCTGAATAAATTATGCACAATTCCATCTATCAAGACGAAGTAATGCAATCACGATCAGAAATTGTAAAAAAAAACAAGTATGATCAATAAACCAGAGCAAACATAAAAACGACAAAGATTCAAAAAATATTTTATTTCTATGAGTAAAAAGCAGTATGGAACAAATGAAATATTATTTACATAGGAAAATGTAAGAATTGTGCTGTGTATCATCTCAATAAATGACTATACATGGCAATTAGATGTTACTTTTGATTTGGTTTAAACATGACTGAATCAATAAATATTACCTAACTAAGAAGCATTTTGATAAACGAATAGATTAGCTTTGTTTTCTTTTCGAATCGTATGAGATAATTTAAGGCCAATCATCAATAGGTGGAGATATGACTCCTTGAGATTTGAGTTTATTCCAAAGTGTTAAAAGTGGTTCTGCTGTACGTGTATGCCACACTAAGATCTAAACGAAAATTAAAACAAAAAAGAAAGTTGTACTACCAATAAAATGATTTCAAAACGGAATGATCCAAAGGAATCAATACATTATGAGTACTAATTTATCGTTAGTTGGTCGATGGTGTTCGACTTGTAGCCACTAAATACCATGTTTAAACCCCACTTTGCCTACTTTGCTTTGAACTATCAGACCGTTAACCCTAACATATAGAGTGTAGTACATAATCACGTAACTGCGTTATTTATACTACTCACAACATGGTTTGTGAGTAGCAAGCAGTAGCGTCGCTCAGAAATCACGGTTAAACAGAAGTGTCCGGTAAGGACGTATGGAACGATCAGTGTTTTGAGGAAAAGGAGACATTCAAGAATACGCTAGTTTTGCAAATGAAAGTTTAAAGGTAGGGTGTAGATATTTTGCTAGTTAACTGTGCCTTCTTTAAACAAATCATTTATTCCAACTGGTCTTAACAACTCCGCATGCAGTCCCCTTCGGGGCTACTGCCGGTCCCAAGCCCGGATAGAGGAGGAGGGTTGGCGCCCACATACCAACTAAAAACTAACTTGACAAAAAAAACGCTAAACAGAACAAATAATTCAAACCATTTTAACTCTGCCCTGGGAGTTGCAAGAAGAATTATGACGTCGCGTCATGAAAGCCGAGTTTCCTCGGAAATCACAGGGCCGACGCCTCTTCTGACAACCAGAGCAACCATTCTTTTAGGTACATGGAACGTTCGTACATTGTGGGAGACTGGAAGACTATTTCAAGTTGCAGCAGAAATGAAAAGATACAACCTCGAGGTGCTCGGCATCAGTGAAACGCATTGGACACAGGTAGGACAACTGAGACTTGCTTCAGGGGAACTGCTGTTATACTCTGGTCATGAAGAGAAAAACGCTTCACATACACAAGAAGTTGCACTGATGCTGTCCAAACATGCACAAAAGGCACTGATAGGATGGGAATCTCATGGACTGAGGATCATTAAAGCATCCTTTAGAAAAAAAGAAAGAGGACATTACAATGAACGTCATCCAATGCTATGCACCTACCAATGACTACAATGACGACGTTAAAGATCAATTCTACGAAAGGCTGCAGTCAATCGTCGACAAATACTCACCAAAGGATTTTACGATTCTTATGGGAGACCTGACTGCAAAAGTTGGCATGGACAACAATGGATATGACGATATCATGGGACGACATGGACTGGAAGGAAGGAACGAAAACGGTGAGAGATTCGCAAACCTATGTGCCTTCAACAAACTGGTCATAGGCGGCACAATATTCCCACACAAACGCATACACAAAGCCACATGGATTTCACCGGACCACACTACTCAGAACCAAATCGACCATATCTGTATCAACAAAACGTTCAGAAGGACTATGCAGGATGTGAGAACCAGGAGAGGAGCTGATATAGCTTCATATCACCACTGGCTGGTCGCTAAAATAAAACTGAAACTCAAGAAACACTGGACAACGGGGCAGACAACATCACACAAGTTTAATACGGTCTTTCTTCGGGATACCGTAAAACTCAACGAATTCAAGATAGCCCTCAACCATAAGTCACAGGCCTTGCACGATCTACTCAATTGAGAGGAAGCAACGTTGGAGAACAATTGGAAAGGGATCAAGGAGGCAATCACTTCAACATGTCACGAAGTTCTGGGTCACAAGAAGTACCATCACAAGGATTGGATGTCTGTTGTTACTCTTGCAAAAATTGAAGAAAGGAGGAACAAGAAGGCAGCAATCCATGTCACCCAAGGCACAAACTGAATACACAGAAGCCGGAAACCATTGTAAACCAGAACGACCAGTGAAAAGCAAGGCAGAGTAATCAGCAACACTGAGGAATAACGAAATAGGTGGATAGAGCACTTTAAGGAACTCTTGAATCGACCAGCTCCACTGAACCCATCCAACATCGAAGCAGCATCTACAGACCTCCCAATTGATGTTGGGGCACCTAAATTGAAGAGATCAGTATGGCCATCAGACAAATCAATAGTGGCAAATTAGAAGGATCAGACAACATTCCAGCAGAGGCAATGAAAGCAGACGTGGAAGCAACTGCAAATATATTTCACATTCTCTTCAAGGAGATTTGGGATGAGGAACAAGTACCATCAGATCGGAAAGAAGGATACCTCATCAAAATACCAAAGAAAGGCGATCTCAGCAAGTGTGAGAACTACAGAGGCATCACTCTTCTCTCAATACCAGGCAAAGTCTTCAACAGGGTATTGTTAAACAGAATGAAGGACTTCGTAGACGCCCAACTACGAGACCAACAGGCTGGATTTCGTAAGGATCGATCGTGTACTGACCGAATCGTTACGTTACGGATCACTGTGGAACAATCAATTGAATGTAACTCACCACTCCACATCAACTTCATCGACTACGAGAAAGCATTCGATAGCGTGGATAGGAAAACACTGTGGAGGATTCTTCGACACTAGGTCAGTCAGTCAGTCAGTTGCAACGTAGAACTTCGTACGTAAGTACATCAGTTCATGTTGCTATACCACATCAGCACAGAGATATAATTGTCAATTCAAATCCAATAGTAGTAGAGGTAGTAAGGGAATTAGAAGTAATCGGAGAGGTTAGGATTAGAAGATACTATTCAAGAAGTATGATTCAGTGAGAAAAGTTTAGAGAGTCGAAACTAGAGGTGTTGAAGAATCCAGAAGATTAGGGTTTAAGAGAACACAAAGAATAAATGCACCGGCGCCATTGCGAACGATTTTGAGCCATGTCATTCAAGGTCTCTAACCATTGATTATTATCATCTCGCGGACCCCAACCAGGTAGTCGACAATTACCGATATGGCTCAGTCCACTAGTCAATGACTTCATGGATTTCTGCCATGTTTTGGTCTGGCCACCCCTAACTTTCTTCCAACCTACTCCTACACTATAAAACAAAGTTCGTCGAAGCAGTCGGTGGTTCGGCATACGCAACACATGTCCCAACCACCTCAACTGATGAAGTTTCACCACTTCATCAATTGATTTGTCATCCTTGCCTAGCACCCGTTTCCTAACGACAGCATTGCTTACTCGGTTGTCCCACGGTATACGAGCAATGCTTCGAAGACACCTATGATCGAAAACCAGTAACCTACGAATATCTTCTACTCTCACTGGCCATGTTTCACAACCATATAGGAGAACGGAGCGAACTGCTGCACAGTACACTCGTCCTTTGATTAGAAAACGGATATCACGCCTACGCCATAAGTGACGCAGGTTGGCAAAAGCCAATCGAGCCTTCTGTATCCGAGCTGAGATTTCGTCAGTCACCAGGCCATCGGCACTGATGAGACTCCCAAGATAAGTGAAGCGGTCTACTCGCTCGACTACTTCACTCCCTATCACTAGTTCAGGTGCCGATGCAACCCAGTCTTGAAGCAACATTTTGCATTTCGAGGGGGAAACTTCGACACTAGGTGTGCCTGAGAAGATAGTTAACATCATACTGAATTCCTATGATGGATTCAACTGCAAAATCGTGCACGGAGGACAGCTAACAGACTCGTTCGAGGTGAAGACCGGTGTCAGGCAAGGTTGCTTACTCTCGCCCTTTCTCTTTCTCCTGGTGATCGACTGGATTATGAAGACGTCAGCATCTGGAGAGAAACACCTTGAACCATATCACTTAAATTCTCTAACCATCGGTTACGAAAACTGCGCAGACCCTAACCATGTGGCCCACACTTACCTACATAGCTCCATGCAACAGTCAGTGATTTCAAGGTATGATGTAAAGTTTAAGTTTGGCCGCCCTTAGCTTTCTCTCAATCGGTGGTGGTTGGGTGATAACAATACATGTCCTAACTATCTCAGACAACGAAGATTCAATGTCATCCCTAACTGATGCCCTGTATTAAACTTCAACATTGGTTACTTGGTGGTTCCAATACATAAAGGAGCAACGCTTCGGTCATATATTATGACCATATTTGAGTACTCTACGAATGTCTTATTTCTAAGTATTTACTTATGTCAACGTTGTAATTTATATTATTTCGAATTTAGTATCAACGTGTCTGATTGTCAAGTTATCAATAGTCATGAAATGTATACAACTACGGCCAAATGAATGTGTTATCATCAACTTTTTATTCTTGAAGTCAAAGTTCTAAATTAGTAGTAAATAAGAGATAAATTCAGCTTGCATGATTGTGTTCATTAGTGGAGCGCACAAAGAATAACCTCAGTTGTAATAAAACACAATATTGATAACTAAACAAACTATGAATAAGATGATAACGATAAGACTTTTTGTTCTTATAAAGCGTGAAAAAAAATTGTTTCTTGCAATGATTCTATTATGATGTAAAATAAAACGTGGATTTGCTAGAACTGAAAATATAAGCCACAATAAATAGATGGAAAAGCGCGAAGAATTATCCCGCAAACACCATCGTGAAGCTTATTGATTTGCTAAATGGTCGTAAGATTTGATTTCCTATCTGCTTCTAATAACCTCAGATTAGAACTACACGGCAACGTAAACACAAGAGAAAAGATGCGAAATATGAAAAGAATGATTTACTCTAAGGCTATATTATGTGCAGAAAAATCGGGGTAATCATAGAGTTACTCATGACCCTGGGTTTCCGTAAGTTTTTGGAACTATACTAAATGTAGTAGCGGTTTAGCTAAATGTCCAATCAAAAGCGTGGCGGGTAATTCTGCATTTCCAGATGTCTCTGTGAAGATTATATTCAATACTGGCTAGGTAAAACGTTTCCTAGAGTTTCTGGGGCTCTATAGACTTTTTCGAGGGATATTTCAATACTCTTCGACAGAAGCAAATATCAAATGCATAGTGATCAGCGAAAGCAGTCATTTAATGTGACTTGATAAAACGCTGTGAAATAATATCGAAAAACGCTTTCAATAGATCAAAAAGTAAGGGAGTAGGTGTATCGTTAACAGCTAACATTATTGAATCTGAGAAAAACTCATTCTTCATTAGAACGTAATTGTAGAGTACAATTCAATAAACGACCTCAAGAAACTTGACAAACCTTACTTAATTCATCCTCTTCTCCTACATAACAGATCATCGTATTTTCAAATACTTGAATATTTTTCAAAAATAGAGTATCAAATCAAAGAGCACTAGATATAGTCACTCGTAACAAAACTGCAGGATTGTACTTAGCAGAAATTATTAATAAAATAAGTCTTTATTTTGATTTCTAAGTATATATAAGTGGGGAAATATTGAGATAGAAAAACTCTTTGATTTAAACTAAGTGAGGTTTTATAAGAAGACCTACTTCAGGTGGTTGGAAAGTTATCCTACTGACAGTAAAATTTAGCTGCGAGGAAGACATAACCAAGGGTATCCCTAAGAGAATTATTGGTCAATTCCTATTGGTTAATTCCTACAGGCCAACTTTATGGCCGTCCTAGATATTAATGTCACGTACTCCAGTGTTGTTCCTGATTGGTCATCCTGACTGTAAATGTCACTTCAAAAGTTGTTTCCTATTGGCCGTCTTAACTGTCAATGTCACAGACATCGATGTTGTTTCCTTTCCTTTCCTAAATGTATAAATAGGCATTATCTGTAACGTTTTATGGACCTGATCCCTAGTCCGGGATCCTGATTCTCTTCTGGACTCGGACCCCGTACTTTCTGGATGCTCGTAGAATACAAGTTCTACTTCATATCATGTCTTCTTCCACTCAATGAGGACCGGGACACTCGGATTAGAGTGACATGTCGGATCGCCGAATCCTCGATCCTCGCTCTCGTTTTCCGAATACGGTAAACTCGTAATAATTCAAGCACACCCAAACGACATGTTTACGTTCATGCGCAACAACTACCAACAAAACTAACTACATGTTGAACTGAAAATATAATCGACTATCAGCCCTGGCTATGTATATAGAGTTGATAACTTGTCAAAACAGTCTACGATTTGCTGTTTCAAATAACTAGTGGTTGTGAGTATTATTTTAAACATTCGTGCTTCTGTACACAAATTGGGACAAGAAAGATAAAAGTTCCTGTATGTATATGAGAAGACATTTGATAGGATCTGAGAACCCAAACCCTACAAATGCCAAAATAACTGATTGTTTGGTCTTTTCTTAGTAACAGATATTGCAAATATTTGAAAATACACAGTATTCAACGAGCATAAGATTAAAGAAAATTTTTAACGACACGGTTGTTTTATGTCTTAATTGTTATCATTACTGGTCTTTTAAGATTAGTTAATAGGCCAAATGGAGACAAGCTATGTTTCAGTCAAAAAGTTCAGTGGCTGCCTTTCTTTTCACAGTATGAAAACGAGCTATGGTAAAGTACGTTTACTTTTCTTTCAACAATGAGAATGTAACAGTCACATGAAAACTTTATATGACTGGACAATAAAAACAGGGATAAAGTAATGAATCTTATTCTACGACGTATTTTTCCGTGTTTCAAAACAGCTGTAATCAACACCAATAAAATTTCAACACATTTCTCGGCTGGTTTTCGCAATGCACTAAGTGACCTACAATATAAAGGAGTGGAATTCCAGTAGCCCATATAATCATACAGCGAGCATCCAGATATGCATAACAAACAAATTATAATAGTAACTCACCTTACGACAACCATCTGCTAATGGTTCCAATTCTCTCCAGTTTTTTAAACCAAGGTCTAACAAAAATTGTGATTCTTGCATTCCGCGTGAACGTCTGTAGTCAAATCCAGCATTTTTGTGTTGAAGAATAAGATCAACATTGACTGCGAATCCGGCCATATCAATTGGAAAAGGACGCTCGGGTTTGTACACTGACCACATACTAACTATGTGTGTTCGATTTTTAGATGTCACACAACCCTCCCATGGAAGTTCCCCTGCAAATCCAACCGGCCATGTTGAAACTCTGTTTGTACGACGCATCTGAAATAATGAGTGAAGTTTTCATCTTTAAATTTGAGCAATAAAAGGTACAAAAAAGTTGATTTTTTATTTGTAGTTCAAGAACTATTTATGTTTTGCTATTGTTTTATCAAAAAATTAAGTTACTTGCTGGGATGAAATTCGTAGTGCATATCCAAGCCATTGAATTCGGTGCTTCAAGATGGTGACATCAGTTGAATTAACATCGCTATGCCTTAACACACGTTACCGAATCTATGCACTACTAACATGGTGTTGTGACTGAATGTCAGCAATTCTTCGAAGACGCCTAGTAAATCCGACCTTTTACAGCTACACTAACATCACGAACGAGCCAGAGATAGCCCAAATTGGTTTAAGCCACTCTGGCTCTCACCATACCTGAATCGATCTCATTACTTACGACATCACCAGCATTTACACAGCTACTCAGATACACAAAATTCTTAAATGCTTCTAACTACTCACTTCCAAGAGTGAGTGCAGATACAGGCTTCTGCAAGTCTTGTAAAAATACCTCACACTTAGAAAATACAAAGCACATGAATACGTAGACTGAGTGCGAATTGATTAAGTGCCGATTGCATGTCTTGGGATTCATTGTACAGAAAGACACTAATTCGCATACTCAAGGCCGAAAAGTCTTTACCCAGGTAATGGATCTGCACCACTTTTACCCAGGTGGATGATTCTTAGTCGGCTATAAAGAACAGGACAGGACAGTCGATGTCGCCGGGACAGCAGATTGGATGACTTGTCTCTCGAAAAACTCCGTCTATCGTCCAAGATGTCGGTGGATGTTATTGACTGGCGTCTCATCAGCTTCACAGATTGTTTCATTCACACTAGACTTTTTCCTAGTCGCTCAGATGAGATGAAAAAGCTTTCAGCAATTACCAGATGCAGATGCTACTCCCAAATTTTCAGCACGATATGACCATAAGATATCTTGGTCCTAATACAAACTTTGCACTATTTGATTACGTAAGCGTCTTCGTTAAAAATCAAACTCACGTTTACCCAGAGTAGACCGATGTGCCTCAATGAATCTTAAGAAGCCTGTAAAAATCCCGTGCTTATAAGAGGGACGTTTCGCAAAGCCGCAAGCGACTTAATTAGCCATTTTCATGGAGTCATGTAGCTGAAGTCAGTGCTCATCTGTACTTTTCGGTGGGTCGAATCTAGCTCGGTTCGATACTTAGTTGCAACAGGTGAAAAAAACCAGCTTGAACGGCATATGTGGTTTTAGAAGGGCTGATTCAGAATTCGTGTTTCGTAATAGTATTTAGTGTCCGGCCAGTCAGTAACTTGAGATTATTTAGATAGGACAAGATTTCTACCATATGTGAGTTGCTGTATGAATTGTAGAATAAGGAATACACAAGATGAGAACAAAGAAACACACGTGACGCGATCATTAAATGAAAACATGTTAACGAATAGTTGTAAGCATAGTTTACAAGAATGAGATTGAAGACGAGAATAATTTTTATAGTTATTGGCACCTATTAAATTTTTATGAGTTGCGATATTACACTGATGCCTGAACCGAAGTAAATATCTTTTAGGGGGCCACCACGAGCTTTTGGTCTAGAGATATAATACATAAGACACTGGGGCAATTTTAAGAGTCCCATGGTAGCCAGTGACAACAACAGGTTCGTTCAACTTTGTTTCCTCAGGGTCCTGAAGCCTGTGTGTACCATTGTTATAGAACCGGGGTTTTCTAACTACCGTAGGTGAATCCTCCATACCCACCTACCCGGTTCAAGTGACAGACATTCTCCCTCGATTTTGAAAACTACACAGCTACGAGAAGGCAGTGACTAAGACTTCCTTAGCAGTAGCTAGATATGCCTGGCCATAAGAGAGCACTAAGAGATGGATAGCGGACTTTCTCCACTTGACTGTAACAGGGTATATTACCTAATTTAGCCTGTAACCCTTCATGGAGCACAAGAAGCCGACCAGATTTCTCCAACCAGCTAACTCTGTCCTTGGATATTGTTTCCAGGCTGCTGCATCACTGACCATCTTCACCTTCATTTGTTGCTATGTGCAGGATAAGAGCTAGGTCATTAGCGAATCCCAAATTGTCTAGCTGCATCTAAACTGTTCAATGTATTCTGTGCTACCCTTGAGATGTTTATTTTCTCATAATCCAGTCAAACAACAAAAGAAACAGAAACCATGGGAGTAAGCAACCCTGTCTAACACCGATTTTGACTTGGAATGAGTCTGTGAGCTTCCCTCCATACATGATTTCGCAGTTTACTTCGTCCCATAAATGCCGTATGATGCTGATGACAGTCCTAGATGTCATCTTGTCCACGCTGTTTTAAACGATGCTTTGATGATACTGGGTCCATGAAATTCCCATCCAATTTCCAGCACCACCGATTTGTATTGTTTCATTTCCGCAGCAATGGTCTCTCACCTTGAGAGAACATTCCATGCACCTAAAATAGTGGTTTCTTTGATTGTTAGAGGAAGCATCGGCCTTCTGACTACCGAAGAAACTCGGCTTTCATCACGAGGCGTGATAACGCTTCTCGATGAAAAACTTCCAACTGCCAGAGTAGAGTCTAAATGGTTTAAATTATTTTTCTGTATAGCATTTGTTTTCTACGGGATGGGCTAGATGGGGTTTGGGACCGGCAGTAACCCTAGAAGGGCCCCCGGAGGAAATTACCAGGGTATGTAGAAGCTCTAATATATGGAAAGTAAAATTTCCTAAATGCCTTAATTTATTGATACCTCAATGAGGAATACAGAAGGTTACGATTTGAGAGAACACAAAGAGTGGATGCATCTGCGAAATTGCAAACGATTCTGAGCCACGTCGTTCAAGGTCTCTAACCATTGGTGATTTTCGTCTTGCAGACCCCAACCAGGTAGTTTACACTTAACAAAAAGAAACAATCCACTTGTCAGTGACTTCATGGATTTCTGCCATGTCTTGGTTAGAGACCTTGAACCGCACGGCTCAAAACCGTTTGCAATGGCTCAGGTGCATTCATTTTTTGTGTTCTCTCAAATTCTAACCTTCAGAGTTTCTCATTACCTTTATCTTTTTAACTTTGTTTCACTAGATTCTACTTCTTAAATAATATCTTCGAACCCTAATCTCTCCGATTACTACTGATACTTTCAGTACCTCTACTACTATGGGATTTGAGTTGATAATTACATCATTGGTATGGCAACTTGAAATGATGTACTTACGTACGAAGTTCTACGTTGCTGTTGACTAACTGAGTGATTGATTAGTTCAGTAGTGTGATAAAAATTAAGTATATAAAATTTATTAACTTACCTCTTCAAAAATGCGTAAATTATAGGCGTTGTCATCATCTGCGATATATAGGACACCTTTGTTTTTACCCAAAATAAGATTTTGACGCAACCACTGCAGTCCAAGATTACGTTGCAGTATACCCTTAGGACGAAACCAGAAGGGTTCATTCACTTTAGGTTTTTCTGACTGTGGTGTTGGAATATTTAAATGCACAAAAGGGACACCACAATCATTTAAAATGTTTGATACAACCCTAAAAGAATGAATTAGGCATATGACATATCAGGAGAAGGTTTACTTATTAATTAGACGCAATTGGCAACACCCAAGTTAGATACAAAAGCGACCCATGAAAAGGAATGAAGCTTTCATCTAATGGGACGTAATTAGCAGTTTCATAAAAAAAACAGTACATGTTGGAAAATGTAAACGAGTGAGCAAACAAAATACCAGAAACAAAACCAATAAACACTACCATGAAGGTTCTGAGCTGTCTTCTACAAGAATCCATAAAATATCCTTCAAATTGTGTAGAGTGTTACACATTCTTGTAAGTTCTGCACGTTGGACGTTTCGTCGGTAAGTAGCAGTGATTATGTACAAAATCGGTTTACTTGCATCACTACTGAAACTTACTAGAAGAGCAATATTTACAATCATATACAAATTACTTTGATGTTGCTTTCCGATGATATACAAGAAAACAGTCGTCAGAAAAATACAAAGTAAAACAGAAAGCCTACATCGAGTAGTAAAAACCCATCTGAACAAAGTCCAAACGATACAAGATAATTTCCATACGATCTGAAAAAAAGTGCATATACATATAGTAATTAAACAGGCAAGATGTACTGTATCTTATTATTTTACTACTACTGAGCAAGCATCCAGTCATTAGATAATTGTAGATGTAAAATTTGACACAGTTGTACCAGTTCCTATTAAGAGTAACGAGGGATTATTGAAGAGGAATAAGACCGAGTAATGACAGTTAGAATGGAAAAGAATCAGAGGTAAAAGGTTCAGTAGAGTATGGTTATTAAATAATAAATAATAAAGGAAGCAGTAAAAAGTATGCACTGTATGTCCTAGTTTTTAAAATTACCTAAATATGTTTTTGACTTTGTGCCATTTAATTCGTCTGCAAGAACTTGTGATCTTGAAATTTTCCAGTTAACTCTTACTTGGATATGAGCCACGCTGTGTCGGTTAGGATACTACTCAGTTTCCCAAACCGAATCAGGTTGAGTGAGACTGATAATACTACTCTGCTACCTCATAGTGTTTCAAATCTGATATTGTTATCATTGGAGTCTGCTTAATAAATGACGACTATTGGGTACGAGATAACTGTTATGACTTGCGGAATGTTAATTCTGCTGAGTATTAGGTCTATCTGCTTAAAATCAGATTCCAGAACGACTTTGGAATAAATAGTTACCAGATAACGACTCTTTTTTACTTAAGGTATCAGTCCGTATTTTTTCTGAAAATCCTTATATATATCATAGCAAAGAAAACACAAAGAAGGTTCATGATGCAGATTTCACTCCTAAGGTGACGGGATAGATCAGCAAATCAGATGTCGAAGTATTACTTGGTCACCTAGTAGTTTCTCAAGTTATATAGGTTAATTAAAATCTGTGTAGCCTTTTGCCTTGATTCGTATTTTGCCGATAAACAAATCATTTGGATCTACATAACTGTAAAAGTATATGAAGCTGTCAAGCCACTTAGTTATAAAACTAAACCTTCAACTAAAATAATTTATTTACTTATCGTACTGAAGAACTTTGTCCGCTAATTTACATTTTACTGGATTTTGTACTTAGACCTTTAAATTTAGCATCAGTATTTTGTTTGAACACTGAGGATTCATTGGATGACATTCAGTAAAAATTGATCTCTTAGAAAACAAGAAGCGATATTAGCTTTCGGTAACAAAGTTTAACAGAATGCGAAACATACGCAGAACGACGTCCAATTAGAAACATCATCGGAGCTGAGACCGGGATTATTTTTATTGAAAAATCCAAACACTCTAACGGTCAATGAAGTGGATTACTACCTTTAATTCGGTAATTAAGGTGCATTTTACTTGCTAATATGCATTTATTCCGGCATAGTGAAGAAGGGTGAACTTCACTTTAAACTCCCAAGTGAAGTTGTAAATTACGCTAGATTTTACAAATAATTTTGGTGCGTGCAAGTTTCCAAATAAAGTTAGAGATAAAACCAAATTTCGAAAATAAAACGACTTTCGTGCTCTTAACTGTTCGAATTTCAGTGTGAAAACTGCCAGGAGAGCATTTTAACATCAAGAAAATACCGGAGGTATTTGGGTTTCTTTTTTCTATGCCATATTACGGGCAGTGACGCAGTTGAAATTAAACATAGTTGGCATACATACATGTCGTATAACAGAAAACTCCTTGCAAATATATATTGCCAAAATATTTTAGCCTATTAGTTTTCATATCACTGATCATGTAACTAGACGGCGTTTATTCCAAGAAGCATTAGGAGAAAATAATTGTAACAGCAGTTCTGGGCTAAACGAAAAATACATGGGTATGAAAATGATACGCAGTATCAGTAATGCGGTGACAAAAAGATGCTTTCGTATGTGAGAGGAACTCTACGTTTGAAAGTTACTCCAAGACTCAATGACATACTTTTACACCTAGAAATCGCTCTTGATCAAATAATAAAAAAGCCAGAAATAACCCTCAAGTTAGAAGATTGGGTTACAAAATTGAAAATCTCGTGAACGTTTATCTGAATATCAGAAAACCAAGATATAACAATATTTTTATCTAGTCAAAAGCAAACATGTTCGCATTATATCACACAGTTAAACCGCAACTTTCTGTCAACTGTAAATAAATTAACTATCTGGACACAAACATCTGCATGCAAGTTATCAGTCAACTAATGAAATTCATTATTGAGTATGCTTTGTCTTCTGTACGAGTACGAATTAAAGTGTGCAGAGCGGAAATTTGAAATCAGCTCTCTAAACTTGCAATCTCAGTGGCTGAGTTAAAGTACTATACAAAGTATTCATAAACCACCTGACAAGAAAATTCACCACAAAATCTCGAGTGCCATATAAATTTAAATTTATTAGAGGACAGAATAAAAATAGACAAGGTAAGTCCTTCTCCGACAAGTTTTTTTCTAACATCCCATATGTAATTTTTATTCAATGTAGTTCAAACTGCTGTCTAGACCGGGGTTGCGTTCTCAGGAAACATTGGGGGCGGAAATCCATTGAGGGTGTAAGTAGTCTGCATCACGTGGGACAGAATATTCATAAAGTAACACTTCGTCTGGTTAAGTTATAACCCGTTTTCCACTGCCCACTCCTCAATCGCTGTAAGGTCCGCAACATTACTTTTGGACCTCCAGATTTTTGGATCAACTGAGTAGATAATTCCAACCTAGCTGATCCCATCCAACAAGTCATTAAACAATATCAGAAAGAGGATTCAACCTAAGATGTTCATCTGTGAAATTACTGATGTTGAAACTCACCGGCTCACGTGCACACTGTTAAGCCGGGTGTGAAACTTTCTGTTTTCAAGATAGTTTCTTAATCAGGATAGAAGTGATTCAGTAAACATCGTCTTCACGAACTCCGCAAATGGGAGTATTTGAGGTACTGTGTCTAGGAATATTATGTGAACCAGTAATTTTCAGTCCCTGCAGGTTGTTCAGATTGTCTCATGTTATGAAGAGATTGGATGAGCATTATCTGCTTTTTCCTAAACCCGTACTGAGTTTCCTTGAGGATGTTGTACTTACTCATGTTTTCCGTCAATTGCCCATTCGACAGCCCTCCTATTACCTTTAATGTATTGGTAAGAATACGACTTCTATGTAATAGGATCGATACTTCCTATCTCCTGTTTTGAAGATTGGGGAGAGAGTAGTTTGTTACCATTCAGCTAGGAGTTTGTGCGGCTCAAGTGAATATTTGAGCAGATCAAACCGAAGAACTAAGGGCTCTTGCAGGCTGTTTCAAGATTAGGGGGCGAATATTATCACGTCCAGGCGTCTTTTCTCGGCACAGGGATTTGAGTTTACCTACTACTAAGTCAGGAGTAGGTTGGATATCACTTGGGCATGTATTTGATTTGAGTAATACTCTGAAATGTAGGTACCTAGTGAAGTTGGTGTTAAAGATCTCAGCTTGGTAAGACCTTCGCCATTCAGACCACTGAGGTTAAAAAACACCCTGGTTCAAAGGTGTTCTTTTAGTCATGAACCGAATCAGATGATGTGGGGTTGTCTGTATTTTTAGCTCTTAGCTCCATCTGCAAGTGTCTCCTTTCTCTTCAAACTCTAGTATCAAATCTGTTTCACAATACAAAGAAAGAACTAAGGTCGGAATCCTGCAGAAAAAACTTCCACTTGCGTCAGGGTCTCCTTATCTCCCGCAGCAAGCTCATAGTGCTCGCTTAAATCAGTTTTTCCCTCTCTCCTGGTGTGTTGTGCCTGAGTTACATTGTTTAGGATAGCATTCTGGATTATATCGCTTACTGATTGCCTGTGACCATGAGGCGTGTGGCATATGCTCTTTCATGATTGTCGTATGCCCTAATTCAGCAAAGGTAGAACACGTTTTCGTCTCTCTTGAGTGGTTCATTCAAGACCATGTTAAATAAGACTTGTCATTACTTTCTGTTGGTGCTTGAACATGAATGTCCACAACCACAAGCTGATCATTTGCTAACAAGTAATAAAAGTTTGAAGATTTTTCATCCTTAGTCCATCTAGTGGCTCTGCGCCAAGTTGTCTTTCGAACCAACCAGTAAGAGTTTTACCCCGTTAACTGAGGTTTAGAAATGAAGTATCGAAATATCTAGCTTAAAGTATTTGATAAGTTGTAGTATGGTCTCAGTCGATTTATCTCTTTGGGTTTAGTGACTTTAGGGGAGCTTGCAAATTCCTCCAATCAACTATATTATACCGTTCACGTTGAAACAACACCAGTAGAAGGAGGGGTGTCTTGCCTCGAACGCTCACTTCATCGTTTGCAATATTTCAGTTAAGATTATGATCATAAGAACCATCAGAGAGTACATATTCCTGATATCTGACACCTTAACCCTTGGTCCCCTAACGTTGTTATAGAGGCACTTGGCGGTTTGTCTCATCACCTAGTGCAGTTAGGCAGCAACGGTTGGTAGATTTTCAAACAAGTCGTTCGAACAGAGTTGACCAGTTCTATGGGAACTGGCCTCTACAGGTTTTTCTTTTGGATTATATTCAATCGACAAGACCATCATCCTTGTTACTGTTATGTGGGTAGTTAATCAAAATAGAAAGCAGTTTATCTGGGCAAGAATCAGTTCTATTATCATTCAAAAAATAAAGATAATTACCTAAATATTACACTATTTACCGTCGAAAAAACACATTGTGTTTCCAATTCAGAAGAATGCTTCCGTATAGGTCCAAAATTGCACCCTTCCAGTCCATATTCAAGTTACACCCGCCGGGGTGTCAAATCCGTTATGGCTGTAGCCATAATAAAGTATCGATTCAAACAACAAATGTAATTCAGAAGTAAACATAGAAACTCAGAAAATGGAAACCATAACAAAATACAAATATTAACATTACAAAATGGGCCTAAACAGAGTACCGGAATATTCAACAGAAAGAGTCAATAAGAACATATTACAAAATATATACATGGGGGGATTTTCCCAAAACAAAGCCTACAAAATGGATTCTACACCTAGTAGTCTGAGTTGTGACGGACGAGGTTGTGGGGAAACATTAATTGCCATCGCAGTCGCCATTTCAGCATGTCATATGCGTTGGCTTCATCCCAGCAACCCCTAACCAGCCAAGGTACGCTGTGAACACACTACTGGTCTGTTCTTAGGTGCCTTTTGATTTCCTCACAGCAGCTCATACTGACCACGGTTTGCCTTGTCTGTCTCGGATCGAGACGACAGTTTAACCGAGTCTCTGTGGTGCTTGGATGATTTCTTCAGGACGTTCAGCGGAGGTGGTTTTTCTCTAGCGAAACCCTGCCCGTTAAACAGATTACATAGTTTGACTGTGGTGATGATCATTCCAAACACTGAAGACTTTGTCCCACAGTTCTTTTTCAAAGACAGCTCTATTGCACATTGAGCTACCCTCCTACATTGGAACACTAAAGTTAGTAAATTTTATTTAATGCCCCTATCTACGATTTGTGGCGTTTTTCCAGCTGTACTTTTGCCGTTTTCCTTTCTGACATTCACCTGCTGCTCCAAACTATTGAAAGATTCTGGTAGGTTCGTAACAACAGGAGGTACTATCGGTGTATGGCTTCGGGTTGCTGCCACCTTTGTAGCCTGTTTGGTCGATTTAGTACTAGACGAGTTAGGAATACTTGGGCGATGCCTATGTTCAATTCATTTGGGATCTGTGTTTTTACGGATGCTAATTTTTTTGTCTGTGCTATGAACAAATATACCACAACCACAGAGAGGGGTTACTCTTGATGTCACCATAGTAATGTCTAGGTAATGAAGTGTCACAGCGAAGATGAACCCGTTTAGGGAAGAAGTTACATTCAAACGCAGAGTAGCTGGTTTAAAGTGACAGCGACCGGGCAACACAGTTATCCTCATGTGCCTCATGAACGGTAGGCTGTATCTTTTGAGTCTTTGAACGCATTTTTTCTTCCGTCCTTATTTTGCCTACTGGTCCTAATAGGGGTAGGAATCTGAGATGGGTTGTGTTTCCGGTTTCTTTGTTGAAGGCCAAGTGAGAGTGTTTCTGTGGAGTGATCGGAATTATGCAAATTACTCTTGGATTCACTCTAGACTGACGTTCTCAGTTTTTCAGTATGCATTTGTTCGCGGCTGAGATTTATGACTCACTACTAACTCGGGAATAGATACCTCTACTAGTTTTCCTAGTTTCTACAGTATGAGAACCGATAGCAATGCTATTATTGAACATGTTACTTAACATATTTAAGAGAACACGAGATAAATCGAAGCGTAATATACACGAAATATGAGCTATATATGAGAAAAATAATAAAAAATAACATTGAGAGAATATATACGTGGTCCAACGGGGTAGCAGGTACCTGTGTGGTTGCACCACAGGATTGAGACGGACTTTTCATGTAGAAATGCTAATACTTGAGCAATCACCTTGGTTTTTCTGAATACTAATGTAAAATTTCCCTTGACAACAGAGGATTAATTTATACCGTTGAATATATACCAGTCAAGAATGGCACCTGAAAGTTACTCAGTACTTCAAAGTTGCCTTTGACTATCCTAGTAACGTTTCCACAAGTCCTGCGTTTGTAAACACGTGGTTTGGAGAAGACACAGGGCAAAATATCTCTAGGCTTAATACTGAGCAGTCTTCGAAATACGCTTAAAGTGCATAACCTGGTATGTCTTGACCGAACTAACATCATCAAATACGGTGTTTCTAGACGAATGAACAAGGTTTGTGTAGGTTGATTTTAGTATGTGTCTTGTTATCTGAATGTTGAATGTTGATATTTAAAATGAAGTCCCCGATTACATATAAATAAGTTGTTTTCGTTCGATAGTATGAAACCCTATAATTTGTGTCGTTCGTTTCTCAAGGCAATAGGCTCATAAACTGTGTTTCACTATCATTTTTCCTAAGGACATTCATATTTCCAAAATTGCAATGGCCGACTTGCTTTAAAGTATCACTACTCATTTTCAAATTATAGCCAACAGTTAAATTACGTGAGACATTCTTGCGCCTCTCATAGTGGTACGGTAATCGTTTGTCGATCAACTTTAGGGACACTTAAAACATTTTTTGAGCACTTTTTCTATTTACGCATGATTTCTTTCTAATGCCAGTAAAGAGCCTAGTGTTATAGTACGTTTTTCTCATTGTTTTGCGAATTGGAGGGGTTATATGTGAAATCAGATGATGGAAAATAATTAATTTATGCAGACACCTGAGACCCGAGTAAACAATTAATTAGAGGAAAATTATGGGTCTCATCATTGAGTAAAATACGATT